GTTGTTTGTGCAGCTTCAATTTAGTAAAAACTAGCTGACCCGGCGAACTTCGTACCGCCTTAGCGTATAGATTTTCTTAATATTTTTTTCCGTAAGAACCATCCTTGGACTTCCACAAACATTTAAAAAAAAGAATTATCGAAATCGGTTCAGCCGTTCACACGTGATGCCGTGACAACGCGAAACGGGTTTCATTTTTATATATATAGATAAACTTTTTTAAAAACAAGCTTTTATTCTGAATTTCGAAAGTTTGTATCGCGCATGGAATTTATTCCTCTTTTTCTCTGTTTGCGCTACAAGCTTTCGAAATTCAGAATAAAAGCTTGTTTTTAAAAAAGTTTATTTTTATTATAATTTTATTTTACACTTTTTAGTTATATCTTAATCTCAGGACCCTGGACGTTATCTAACACTAAAGTGCTCGAAAAGACAAATCCAACAAACCCAAACTCGATGAGTTTCCGCCGTTTTGTTTAGGAGTTCCTATGGCCACCTCCCGACTCCATCATCAGACCAGCTCAATGGTACCATAATATTGCATTGTCATCGGACTTACACATGTATGCAAAATTTCAGCTCAATAGGAAACCGGGAAGTGGGTCAATTTTAAGTTGCAAGATTTGACGACAGACACCAGACATGTGAAAGTAATAAAAAGCTTGTAAAAATGTATTAATTTGGTATCTGTTTTGTGTTGTATACAGAAAAGTATATTCTATCTTATGCCAACTTCTAGCGTAGTGCTTATCAAGCCAAGGGCCTGTTAATGGCAGGGATTTATCATGAGTTCACTCCACTCGATTATCGCTTTATTTTAATATCTCGCTAATATTTGCTCATTACAAGCTTTATGGACGCTTTGAGCACCTATGTATAAATTACTGCGTGTGATAAAAAGTACATAAGCCATGTACTTTTTATCCTATCTAACTATTATTTGCTGCATAGGGTTTCGTTTGCTTAGAATGCTCCGAGTAGGCGGTTTTTTTTCATAAAGACTTTGAAATAAGACGTTTTAAATTGCACGTCCGTTGTGCATTTGCAAGACCGCATACTGACTGCTGGTTATTATAATTTTTAGTAATTTTGGTACTAATTTTCCTTTACTTTAACCAGCCCACAGAACTAAGGAAAACAAATAAAAAGGCCAGGGTTGTATGCCAAATCGTTTCAGCTTTGTGTTCTTGTAACTGAAATAAATTCAAAATGTGTGTCACGTAATTTCCTGTTATTTAAAAAGTACATACCTACTTTTGTGTTATAACAAATTTTAAATCATTTTTATATTATATACACGTCCGATATAAAACAAACAAAGACGTGGCCATGATTTTAATTGAGATAGAAGAACACAATGTTATTTATTGTTTTGTCATCTACATACATTTCCAAATGTTATTTATAATTTTATACATGTATCTAGTGCCTGCCAAATTCTAAATTACACACACCGGCAGATTTAGCGGAACGCAAAAAAAAGTATGAAAATAAGGAAAATTACTACTGATCTATGAAATATTTATTATACAAAATAAAGAGATAATTAAAATAAAATAAAATAACATATATTTTTTAAATATTTAGTCGTTTTTATTTAATAAAAAATCATCGAAACGAAATTTCAATTTTTCAGTTTTGAACAAAAATTAGAAATTGTGGCCAGATTAAAAATTAGGGTAGCTTATCACTATCCAAATGAATGAATTAATGATGGGTATTTCCCCCTCTTGCTCTGATGATGGTTTCCATTCATCTGAGCATGCTGCAGTTAATGATATGAAGGGTATTTTGGGGCAATGTCTGCCATTCCTCTAGTAACGCGTTTCTCAACACCACCGGTGGTATTCTGAGTTTAACACATCTTTTAAGAAAGTCCAAGACATGCTCTATAGGATTCTTGTCTAGGGATCTTGCCAGCCACTGCATCATGGGTATATCCAAATGGTTTAGATGTGCCTGTACTGAGCGAGCACTGTGAAAACGAACATTATCGTGAATTAAACTAAAGGAGTCCACAATAAATGGAGTAAATGGCACATCATGTTCTTCTAAAATGTTCCTAGTGTACCATTCAGAAGTCGTATTTCCTCCATCACCCACCACTAACTCCGTGCGAGCTCCCAAAAAAATCCTTCCCCACACCAGAATTAAGCTACCTCCATAAACCACGATATTTTCAAAATTAAGACTAAATGTTACGTTCTCTTTGTGTCTCCATATTCGCTATCTTCCATCGATCTGGTTTAAGAGAACTCTGCACTCATAAGTGAAGAGATCATGCCTCCAGTCGTTCAAGACCCAATCACGATATTCACGTGAAAAGTTCAATATGTTTTTTCGGTGCTGTGTCACAAGTTGGAGCTTTCTCGGGTATGCACGACCCTATACCAACTTCAGTAAATCTCCTGTGAACTGTGGGCTCAGTCACTCTTACTCCTCGAGTGTCTTTAAGGTTATTTCTGGCTTGAACAGCAGGTAACCGCGACTTTCTGAAAACTCGAAGTTGTAAAAAACGGTCATCCCGTCGCGAAGTACGCCTTTTTCTGACTTGAACCCTCCTCCTAACGACAGAAATGATCAATCTGTACCGTTGGTTACTGCCATGGGTGGTCGATACTGATCAACGACGTCTTACGGCAGCCGATTTGTATGCATGGCCGTTACTTCTCATTTCATCTGCCTTAATGATTTCTGACGGTGCTAAGCTGGGCATAATAAACCCTTATAAGTAACTGAATGCTTACACAACAAAATTCTCAGAAAAAAACATCTTTCACGTAAAAGAAATCCAAATTAGCAAAAGCTTCATTCAATTCAAAACACTCAACGAAACGGTTGATGGGGTAATTTAAACAAAATAATTAAAAAAATATACTGTTGGCAATTATTTTTTTCATATTTAGAATTAAATTAAAAAATAATGTCATAATTAGGCATTTTTTTCCTAAAATAATGATGATATTGATGCTTTTTTTTCCGTTCCTCTAAATCTGCCGGTGTGTGTAGATTAATAAGGTTCTTACTATTTTAGACGAATTTAATTTAACCAATAGTTTTTGTAAGCTGATAGCCATTATCAGCTTTAAGGGCTCAATTGAACCAACCGTTTTTGACATTTGGTATTGAATTAGTTCTCATTAGACAATCAGGCTACGTGCCAGTTATGTGCGGTTGGATCTAACAAATTGAGCCACCATAGATTCCGCGTCAATGGCTTAATACCGTGGTTAATAATTAATTGACCCAATTAATCAAAAAGTTTAGAGTGCAATGAGCAGAGAAGCCGAAAGAATGTCGACATTTTGACCGACTAATTAATTACCAATCAATGTGATGAAATGTCATGTTGATTAACCTACTTATCAGAACTTTACTACTGGTTTATTAAGTTCGGTTTGATATGTTACGGCTAGTTGTAGAAATTGGATAATCCGAAACGTTTCATAAGATAACGTGGAGATTTTATGGGAATCAAAGGTATCCCTTGTACACCACTGTAGCAGCTGTCAACAGAATTTCTTTTGACTTTTAATTACTTAATATTATACTTACTCATTTTTTTCGTTGACATTCTGTCACACCCTATATTCTTCCTCTTTTGCCTGTTATTTGCGTTTTGCCCTGATTTCTTATCCATTCGCTTACGTCAATTTCGCAAAAACCTTTGAGCCTTCTTCCAAGCCGAATCTAACTAGTTTCCTCATAAAAATGGTGTGCAGTGTGCACGTCATACTGCCGGTTATCCCTCGGGTTATCTGCACCGGTGCAGACTGCCTCAGAACGTGCCTATCAGCCGCTCTGGTCAAGGTTCGCTGACACAATGCAGTGATAAGGGCGGTTCACGCGCGCAGGTAATTGAAACGGTTGAATCGGATAGTTTTAGAATAAAGCATTAAAATAGGACAAAAGAATATAGTCAATATGACATACTAATTAATAAAGGTTTATACAAACTAGCTGACCTAAATGACCAAATACAAGAAAAAAACAACAAACCTATCTAAACCAGCTAATAATCAGGTTAGAACCTTGTTCGATAATTTGATTTTCGATCAATTGGTCATGATCAATATAGCGGAGGTAACCCCCTAAAGTGCAACGTTTAGGATTTGTTTTGTTCTGTTGTCTGAATAATCGGAAAATTGACAAATCATATCGCGATTTGGTATGATTATCGGGAAATACATCACTCACTATTAAAATAATAGTATTTCTGTTATTCACCTTATCTATGATGTAAATGCTTGGTTAGAGATATGAATGTAGTTTTAAAAGTTATTGACCAATTTTATGGGAATTAGTAAGCGCAAAAAGTGTTTCGTAGGTCTACTTATTGTGCGATTTGCAAGACATTTGCGGTTTTCAGCGGTAGCTGTAGGTAGCGCTAGGTATAGCGCAACATAGAATTACGGTTTGTTAAACTTTTTCTTTAAAAAACTGTACCTAATGTCAGTACATTTTTATGATATCACTGAAACATTGCACCAGCTTGAGTTCACTGACATTGACATTGCAACGTGTTTACTCTATACCTACCTATAGCTATGGAAACCTTACACATGAATCACGAGGAATACCTTAACTGGCTTAATTTTTAAATTGTATTCCGAGCAAAATATTGTTTTTGTGTTGTTGTTTACTTAATCCAAAACTATAGGTCACTAACCGATTGACTGACTGACTCAATCACTCATCACGAAATCTCAGAAACTACAAGTGCTAGGAGTCTCAAATTTTACATGGGGTTTCCTTTTAAAATTTAGGTGCTCACTAAGAACGGATTTTAAATTCCACCCCTAAGAGGGTAAAACGGGATCCACGCGTACGCAGTCGCGGGCGGCCGCTAGTATTTTATATCTCTTCCTAATTAATTCCTAACTAATTGCAGTGGTAGGTATATCGATCCCAAACCACAGTACATCAAACCCAAATAGCCCCAAATGTTGCGTAAAGCCCACAGTCGCTGAAATGTCTTTTTATAAACGACGGATACTCACTTCCTTGTCTTCTATAAGCGTCGCCACTCTGCCCGGCTGAAACAAAAATAGATTTACTTTAAAAAACTGAAATTCTTCAAAAATAAACTCGCAACAATGAACTCTTGCGCATGTAAAGTAAACGTCATGTTAAGCTTGTTTGTTTTCATTTTTGTTATTGGAACACAAATGTTGCGAATAACATTTATTAACGTTGTTATTACTATTTAAACCGATACTTAAATCTTAAAATAATCTGCATTTATCTTGAAAAGTTTTTCTTAGTATTCTACATTATTTTTATCGTACGTTTTCCTTGTTTCCCTTTTCTTTTCGTTTATTATACTTATTTTCTAATTTCAGTGCCATTATCACAGAAAATAAAAATTGAATTCTTGGCAAAACATTTCATGCGCCTATTTCTGTTTACATACTGTTCTATTTATTTTGAGTCTACTGCGCACTACGAACTATAGTGCTCATGTGATAACGGGTGAATGAACCTGTGTGAAATTAGGTTTATACGACTTAGATTCAGCGTGACAGAGTGATGGTCAAGATTACAACTGTAATTTTTGATTCACTTGCGTAAAGCAATAAAGATTATTTTTTTGATTGGTACAAGAGGACTGTAATGTTTGACGCTTATCTAAGTACAGTAGGTATTCGGTAATTATAATTACATTAATGAGTTTTTTACGAGTCCTTGACTTGATTGACAAGATGGTTATTAATCATTTAAGATGATCTAAGCCTTCAATCAACCACAAAATGTGGTTTTTCAGTTGTAACTCATGTCCATTTCTATTAAATCACTCGCGGGCATAATAATATGTTAATATTATATGTCCTCTCTATCTCAAGTGGAATTGAAACATTTTATGCTATTATTGACACGATGGCGTCGCCACGTGTAAGACATTAATCACGGTTATCAATTACTTTGCATGCCAAATTAGCTAAATGACATTTATTATAGATGCCAAGCTTTGCATGTTTGAGCCTTTATCACTTGAATGACGTCGTCTAGTGGTTGGAAAATTTGACTCTTTACAATCGAAGGTTCAATTCTCGGATGGGATATACAAATTGGAAAATAACCTAATCTGGTTTGCACACAGGCTTGGAAAAGGAATTACTTACTCATTCTGTGATTCAAAGGTCATGTCGGTCTGATTCGGTCGGACTGTGTCTGACGTCTTTGGTTATTTTTAAAAGTCTGTCACCAGATTGTGACCTAATTTAGTTTCATCCCACGCGGAGATGATTCTCTCGTTAACTTTTTTCCATTGCCTGGAACTATTCTAATATTTGCCCTTTTCGATTGTTTTCAGCGCGTGCACTTGTTTTGTTGCTGCGTTTATTATTTTGTGATAGTACCTATTTGTGATGGTCTCAAGTATCGTAATAAACAGTTGTTTCTTGACTTGTCTCTGATTAGGAAGAAGCATCGTATGTATACCGGTTCCTATTGTCGACGAAGGACGTAGGTACGCACTATAATAGGCTATTTAAAGGATGTTTGCGATTAGGTATGTCAATTGACTGTTCGATAACGCGAATTGAGGGTCTTTGTTTAATGAGAGCCAAGAAACGAGTTATCTAATAGAGGAGTCGAGTCATTTTCAGGGCTTTAACAAATTTTAACGTTTTATAATATAGCTACTTGAATCATTCTAAAAATAACGACATCGTGCACAAAAAATCTTGTGCTCTATATTGTCAACCAAAAGATTGCCTGCTGGACAATTGGACAATGGCGGGAGGTCAAGGAATTCCACAACAACCGGTCCTGCACTGCTCGCATACAGGCACTTTCCGTAACCTTAACCAGATCATCGATCCACTCAAGGTACGCTTCCGGTAGGTACGTGGTCACCAATTGACAACTTTATTTTGGCAACCGAACTGAACTGCTCAGTTCACCTATCAGTAATGAAAATTGAGTATCTGACTAGTCTCTGAAAATCAATTGTCAGTGTCATTCCCGTTGTGCTATGGAAGGTTAAGCAATAATAGGACAGTAGTGTGAAGCACGTGAAAGTGTTCTTGAGTCGACGCCAAAGATCCGGACCAAAGTCAATGCACACTGCAAATAGACTGCACGTGAACCGGATTGTTCCATTCATGACTAAAAGACGGAAAATTGTGATCACGTTCTTTGCAAGTGATTGACTTTTTGATTCACCAGTCTTCTTCTTTGCCTAGAACTTTCTCATTTTATTTGGGGTTGGTCCTCCGTATCATGCGTCTCCAGGCGGCTCGGTCCTGGGTCGTTTCTTTTTCTGGGTTGTTTTTGTTCATCACCATCATCACCACTTTCTTTACAGCCGTGATACCTATGCATTCAGTCCAAAATAAGTACCAGAGGCCAATAAGAGTGGACTAAACGTCTAACTGTAGTGTTCCCTGAAGTACCGCGTTGCACCAGTTCATTGTACTCAAAGACAAAGGATAATAAAGTACACGTAATGCTTTTATATTTGAGTAAAATGAAAAAAGATGCTTTTCACATGGCTTAGAGTCAACAAACGCACTAAAAAGAGATATCGCTGTGACAATGTATCGCCTGTCTGTGAAATCTGACGTCTTGAGCAACACGCCATGTTTGGTGACACAATCAGCATACAATGCTTGATGTGTGAATGAGATCAATGGAAAAAAGTACTTTTTTTACATGTAGACATAGGCAATTATGATGTTAAAATGAATGCCGATGAAAAACTGAAATTTAGATAATAGGATAAGAATTTCCATAAATTTCTACATTGATAATTAATTGAAAATTTATTGACAAACACTTGCAATTTTAAATAATTCGAGAAAAATAAAGAAAAACGTGATTGAAGTAATGTTAAAGCTATTATTATATCATGTTATCTACTATCACCGACATAACAAGGCCTAATTCCTGTTTATCTTTTATTTGTGGATGAATTGCAAAATCTAATGTCAGACTTTAGACAAATAAAAGGTATTTTACTGAAACTAATCTAAAGATACTTGTATGTGTTATTTATGTTTACTAAAAGAAATATCAACGAAAATTACAACAAAACAAAACAGGGTTACAGACTTTTCTTTTATCTATTGTTTTGTTAGATGAGCACGATTTTTGCGCCTTTTGTACTCAAAAGTACAACAATATTGATAATTTTGTAAAAGATAACTTATTATACCTAATTACTTAGCCTGTAATTTAGCTCAATACCGTCCGAACCTAGGTAATTCGCGTTCTTTATCTTTATTACCTAGACCTACAACTAAATAAAACTATCTTTCTGTCTTGAGTTAGGAATTCACATTTCTAGATTTGCGCAAGTGTTTTGTTTTGCATTGCGATCATTTACCTTTTTGTTTCTTTCACAGTTAATTAAATAAATACCTACCTAAGTAAAAGTCAAAGCGACGTTCACAATAGTATAAGTTTCTTTTGATTTGGCTTTTAGTTCTTTAAATTGTTAGTATTCAGGAAGGGTTTATTACTCTTTAATCAGTTGATTGAATCACTCAGAATTCTTTTGTTATTTTTTATCTTCTTTGTTACTGTAACAAAAGCGCGATTTTCGTACCAAAAGTGGTCCCAATCGTAACAGTACTTATTTTATTTACCTATTACACAACCTTGACTTGGTACAATACGTCATTTTTTAGCAGCCGGTAATAATTGGCTAATTATCAGAACGTGTTTTTGTTGTTAAATGTTACCGGGCCAATATTGCTTTATCACACACTCTGGATGTTCCTTGACTCTGCGTATGTAAGTAGGAAATTCGTGTTTATGTATTGGTAAATATTAAGTCTTTGTAAATGCTTTTAAGTTAACTAATGTATGATTATATTCATCGGGGAATAACTAATTGAAGTAGCAACCGCAACGCTGAAGATGAAAGTGAGTCGGCGGCTTGCGTCAGAAACAACAACCGAGTCAAAATTTGACCTAGTAACAATATTTCGGCAAAATTTCATCAACCTTCAACCAAAACTGTGTGCTGTACGTAAATACTACTATAAAAATATATTGTATTTTTAGTTCGAAAACACGTAGGCGAGGGGCCGGTAAAAGGGAAATATGCTTTAAATTCTTACCTTGGATTCAGTGCCGCGGTGTGTGGTATTCCCCTGCCAAAATCTCCTGGAAAACCCTTTCACGTAGCCCGTCACAGACTGCTGGTATTCGAACCCTGGGTTCCAGCACAGCGAGCCGTATCCGAAAACCCAGAAGGGTTCTTTTCTGGATACCACCTCCATCTTCTGCTCAGTCTTCCCATCTTCACAATTCCTCTCAGATTCCTTATGGCTATCCATATTTCTAAAAGCTTTCTCCAAAAAATCCTAGTAGAAAATCGCTACGCTAATACAAATGCTTAGGGAAAGAGAGAAAGCGGACGCCAGCGTCCTTATGTTATATCACAGATAATGTTTCACTTTGTTATTCTACTTGTGTCTCATGGTGGTTACTTGGAGCACGTGCACCGAGGAAACTAACTAGGAGTACAGATTGTTGAGCGAGCGGCCGCCCATCGCGCTGATAGATTCACAACTGACAGTTTTCCGCACTTGCTCACCTTTTCACTGCGTGCCACAACGTCTAAATTAAACTCCACAGTCAATTGTGAACCGTATTGCGTTGAGTTTGAACCTCAATTGAGCGCATGTCTGCGTTGCTCCACCGCAGACAGGGCGGTACCACGTCGTTTCATTCTACGGAATCGATTTTGCTTGTAGATTTTCTCAGTCGCTCAAACTCATTTTATATTTGACACTCTGGTTATTACTAATACTGAACTTGTGATTGAGGACTAATAAAGTACATAGTCAGTACTAAAATTATTAACAAACAGAGATGAGTAAGGTAGCAGTTGTTTTGTCAGATAAAACGGAATGTATTGACCTCGAAGTTGGTGCCGGCAAAACAGACCTTATGTTCAGCCAATAGGAGCGAGGCTGCGGCGACTCAATGCCGTGGATGCGGCTGATGCAATTTCTGAAAGAGCTTACGCCGGAGCTTTTTGATGGATGCGCGGTGAAAGTTCATAAGATTGGCGTACTTAGACAGACATACTTTAATATTTAGATGACCCTTGTGTACCTAATTTAGATAAAAGTTATCTATCTAGGTACATCCTAAATTAAAAAAAACACTATTTAATTTATTAACTTTACTCATAATTTTTCACCTATAAACTAATAAAACCTTTTAACATTAAAAGTACATAATTAATATAAAATATAAACAAAACTTCATAAATAAGTACGTATGTGTGAGTGAAGACGAGGTAAATTATGGATTTTTTTGCAAATTTTCGTACAAAGTCATTAGTCATATTTTCTTTTCTTCTTTTTCAAACTTCTTATTGTATGTGATACTTATTAAATTAGAGATTGAGTAAGAAAATAAAAATAAGCATTACTTTTTTTTGGCTTAGGGATGATCGTAAAATAAGTCAAGGGCTTTTCTTTTGAAGCTTTGATGAATTACTCATACTTACTGTACAAGGGTTTTTAAGCGGTATTAAATATATCACGTTATCCTTTATTTGTAAATGCGATCTTATTAAAATCTTACTAACACGTGAGCCTGACAACACGTTTAATTGATTCCTTTGAAAAATAAAAGATAAGGATAACAAACTGGCGGAAACTGTCTGATTTATATAAGGGGAAACATAGGAATCGTTATAAATACTTTTTGTCATGCAAGGTTGTTAATGACTTGTTTATTGCATGCTATGCAGCTGATGTCTAAAGATCTTGTATAATGATTGTAGATCTTATTCATTAATTGATATGTTGTTGAGTAATCAGTGTAACACACGTTACTAAGTGAGGAAAAACCATAACGCATTTAAAAAAAATGTCAAGTAAACAAGTAAATTAGATCGTCGTCACCAGCTTTTGCTGGTGAATTTATCCACAAATAGTTTTCGATCTGTCACAAAAAGTAATAGGTACTTACTGCGCGTTAAAAATCTTTATTTTTTATGTCTTACTCAAGCAATAAATATTAATTTTTAAATGCCTTTCTCAAAAATTTCACCCTATTTTATTTTTTTGCCACACTCACTGTATATTTATCAAAATTGAGCGGTAAATAATAATATTATATTAATGCTAAGTAATTAATTTATATTTTAAGCAGTTTTTTGTTCGTTGAAGTCTTTTCTAGGAGCACTATTTTTTAATTCCTAGAAAAGACTTCAACGAACGAAAAGAAATTGATTTTTAACCATGATATGGTTGGTCAACACATTTCCGTGCATATTATTTGACAGTTGAAAGGAACATAAATATTCTATCTTCGGTGTGTAATAAAACTTCATAATGGCTTCAATATAATGGTCCATATATTTTTCATAAAGAATAAATCACAATGTATTAGTTTATCTATTTTACACAATATAACAGACATGGAGTATTAACGATTGGATATTACTACATTAACAAATTGAAATAACTTACAATTTCTTTATAATTAACCATATTCATTATATTGAGATATAATTACGATTATGTAAGAATACTGCAGTATTGTTTTATTGGTAAAACAGTTACATTTAGAGAAAAACAACTTGACCCCGAACTGCAACTAGTAGAGATGAAAACACATAAATATGACAATAATTTGTTTTTATATATTTTATGTTACTCCATATTATATTATTACAACTATTAATTTTTAAACTTATTTGACACAGATGGAATGCTATCGTACGATAAGTTTATTGGTGTTGTCAAGTAATACTATTTAAATAATTAATTTCTATATAAATATAAAGTTACATATCATTTTCAGATTAATTAATATTAGCATTTGGTGACATTTACAGATAAATATACTATTAATATGTGCAACATATCTATGACTCCAATGTGACTATGTAGAGATATTGCCATAAATTATAAGTTTTATGAGGTTGGTTAATAATCTACAGAATTAAACACTGGCCTTTAATGGTTATTACTTTTGATGTGTTCTATGAAAATGAAATACATAAGAAATAAATAATTTATCGTCTGTAATGTAAAAAGAGTTTCAAAAACTTTTTAAAATTAAGAATTTAGGTGATGACTGTGACGCAAAAGAGAAATGAACTGTGATTAGTTGAGTCTTCAATATTTGGAATCACAAGCTATTAAAGATTAAGATTTGAAGATGTTTCCAAATATTAAATAGTTACTTAATATAAATAATTATTGTATCTTCTTACTAAGAAATAATAAATAAATTAATTAATCGTACAAATGAACTGTTAGAAATTATAGAAATATGTTTTTGTCTAGTGCGTCATTAAGTATTTTACCAGGCAGCTGTATAAGTACCTATTATAGTTATAAACATACATTTGGTTGCATACTTCGGGGTCCGTATGAAATAATTATCAATTTAATGTATAGCAATAAATATGAAGTGAATTTAAATATTTTATGGGTGATAATAAAATATAAATGCATCATTCCATTGTAAAATAGAGTAGGTTCTTTGTACATAATATCCTTAATATCCACGTTGCACCAAAACTTTGTGATTTTAAAGGTAACTAAAACAATTATTATTAATTGAGATTACATTATCCATTAATTATTAAGATCTATTTACACATTTTAATACATAATTATGTTCATTTTGTGATATTTGGCTTTTGTTCCTTCTGTGAGGGAAAATATATTTCATTGGAGTGTTTCACTTCGTCAGTAAATATTTTTCTAATAACATTAAGTATTTAAATATAGGTAATATATTTTTAATTTATGTAACATTTCAGCAGTTAGAGGTGAGATAGCCAATTCCGGGTGAAGCTCGCTTCCACCTTCGGCCTGATCATCACTTACCATCAGGTGAGATACAGGCCAAGAGCTTCCTCGTTGTGGATAAAAAATATATATATTTATGATTCAATACTAAATTTATTTAAGCTTTTAATCATTATTATTTAATCTTTGAAGTTTATGTACTTTAATGTTATAATTGCATGAACTAAAAAATAAGGTTAGCAATAACACCCTCTAATTTTAAAACGTGAAACACCCCAATTGAAAATTTTAAATAAGCTATGCAATTTATATTAAATATTGTGATGGTCAATCCAACTATACCTAATTATTTACAACGATCAGACTTTTTACAACAAACACGCTGCACTCCAAGATTCAGGATTACACTTTACTTAATTACTGACACAATTAATCAATGACATAATAAAATTTAAATATAATTTAATACTATATTCCTGAACACAGGACAGGTACGGTTATTATGTGCTTATTTGAATGTTATTTATATTACAATATGACTAGTGATATGTAACGATAACTTTACATAGGATATGGTAAAACAGATTATAAAGTTAATATGCGAATATCCAATGAGATTATATAATTTTTCACTAAATAATGCACCATGGGGGGATCTAAACATCGAATATTTGTCAATTTTAATAACGTAACACGCTCATATCGACTACTTCAAATTCCTTAAAACGTTTATGAAAAAACTCCTATTTTAAGTATTAAAATATAAGTTATTGCGTTATTAAATATCATGTTCATAACTGTTAAATATGCTTTTCAGGTTACTCGATATGACTATCTGATATTTTCATCGGTTTAATATCTACTACATAATTATATACCATATTTGATTAATATGTCGCTTTACAAATTTAATGATGGATTCTAATATAATATAACTAATATATTTTGGTAATTTTAATAATAATTTCTCTCATAAAATCTTAAAATCTTTTTTAAGGCTCCGAATAGCATAATTTAACAGCAATATATCTTTTATAAACTTCTACACGCTAAATAAACTAAACATCTCAATACGCAGTCAGGTTTTTTGGTAGGTCCCCGTCGGGAATTGAAGGGTCAAGACGAGTCTTGAAATGTGGAGGTAGGTGAACCTTAGCCTAATAAGTATTTTGACATATTATGCTTTAATATTATAATAATATGTACATCTTAATATAATAATATCAGAACTATTCACATTTTGGTTGCTACTTCGATATACACGCAATGCAATCGGTTAAGATTGCGATAAGCCTTTTATTTCAAGCTAAGACTTGACAGCTTTGCCTTTTATCCAAAAGTTATGGCTAAGCAATTTAAGTTTGTTAGAAAACTATTCGAGAATTCTTATAATATTCACACAAAGAGCTTCTCAGTTCGTTGGAACTTGTTTTTAAGCCCAAATGGAATGCTTGGATTATACAATGGACTCTAGAGGCTCTAACACTCTAAAGTGCCTGCTCATTCCCTGATGGCTATCTACTTATTTGCTCGGCTGAGCGATGATGGTGATACGATGAAAATTTTTGGTCGGAATGTTTGCGTTGGTTAACAATTTTGGTTGAATCCTATAAAAAATCAGCTAAGTTATTCTTCAAGGCTGCGTATAGAATATGCACCGTGATAAAACCTGTAGCAAGTGTCCATAAATCACATACGCATTTTGATGATGATAACTCAAGGCAGTGCTCAAAGCTGGTCTCTTCAGCAAGTGCCAGTAGGTAGCAGACGAAGGAATAGGTCCAGCTAGTATTGGTGACAGCTCAGGACAATGCTTATGGTTAGTCGCCTCTGACCCAGTTTGCGTTGTACATGAGAACTCCTTAGACTGTTTTTTTTTGCATCATAAATGAGTCTCTTATCAACTATCCACCATTGTACAAAATAGTTGCCCTACTGATAATATGTACTCCCATAGTAGAAATTACTTACGACATCGAGGCTTGTTACACCAGAGGGCTGAGTGTGAGTTTTTTATTAGTGAGCGCGTCAAAAATGTCATTTAATGTATGAGATATTGTACAGCGCCCCTAGCGGGAAACGTTCAAAAGCTAAAATTTTTGATTGCTTTGATATCTGTGTACACTGTAACTGTAGCGCCAACTTGAGTTAAGGCCACGGGGAGAGCAGGTATATGTATTTTCATATCACTGTACACTAGTAACGGTAGCGCCGACATAGGTTGGGGCAGGGCAGGTTCTCCAACCGTCGGACGGGAGGGGCTGTGGTAGAGAAGGCTTTGTCCGGAAACCCACAGTTTCCTCCCACTTATGGCGAGTGACGGAGCACTGGTGTTTTTTTAGTGGGTATGTCTCGTCCTTCTGACTTGATGAGCCCCACATAACCTACCCTGTCCCCGCAGCGTAGGTATGCGATTCAACGCATTTTTTCCCCGTTAAAAAGGGCAGGTTCTTCAGAACAAATGACTTTGATATCACTGTCACTGTACGCTAGTTGTAGCACTTTGAGTCAGGGCTCCGGTCGAGGCAGGCGGCCCCAGGTCAAGGAGACGACACCTATAGCAACTGTACTGCTGACTTGCTTAGGGTTTCTTGCAGGGCAGGATCTCCATATGACTGATATCACTGTCACTGTACACTAGTTGTACCACTGAGTCAGGGCTCCGGCCGGGGCAGGCGGCCCCAGGTCAAGGAGACGACACCTATAGCAACTGTAGTGCTGACTTGCTTAGGTCTTCGGGCAGGGCAGGATCTCCATATTATTAGGGTGTATTTTTATATCACTGTACACTAGTAACGGTAGCGCCGACATAGGTTGGGGCAGGGCAGGTTCTCCAGAACATATGACTTTGATATCACTGTCACTGTACACTAGTTGTAGCACTGAGTCAGGGCTCCGGCCGGGGCAGGCGGCCCCGGGGCGCGCATCACACGTTGGACTCGGGCCCGTCGGTGTTGTGCTTGAAGGACGCGCGGATGCGGGCCAGTTGTAGCGCGCACACGTGCCCGTAGCACTTGTTGTACCATTCCGGTGTGCGGCCCCTGTGGAAAGACTGGGTGTTATAATTTGGACTTGGACTAACATACCAACTAAAAACTCTGCTTCTACTTAATTGCAATATGCTCAAAATAATTTCACAACATGTGCTTGCTTACCAAGGTCTCACTCTGCTGGTGACGACTTTGAGCTACAGGTTTCTTAAAGGTTAAATTTTATTTTAGAACTAACCCAGCCGGGCAAGGGTGCACGACGGATTTTAGAAGACAAATGTATTGGTTTCGAAAAAGGTTTATCACAGCGCGCATCCTATAGGCCTATAGGACATTGAAATCCAGAGCAAAAAATTTAAAGGTCTCCTGTAGAATGAGTTACTAGGTTCTGCATCAGATAAATATTGATGTCCACCTACAAGGTGGATCGACGACCTAATATAAGAAGCAGGAATTCGCTGAATGTAGGCTGCTACCAACCGAACATTATGAAAATCATTGGGGGAGGCCTGTGTTCAACAGTGGAGGTCTTATGGCTGATATGATGATGCTGATTATGATTGAAGGAGAATAAACAAGCGACAGTAACTTACATAGTGTCCACCCTCGCCAGGTGCACAAGGCGGCTGCGTCCCTTCCCCGCGGGTTGCGCCAAGTACCGCGACGCGAGCACCACCCCCCGCGCGCCCGCGCCCGCCCCCGCGGCCGCCGCGCACGCCGCGTGGGCCACAGACGTCTCGGCCACCGCGCACCAGCCGCCGCCGCCGCCGCCGCCGCCGCCGCCTTGCTGCCATGACCTGCGGAAGAAGGTAAGTTGTTGATATACTTCCTTTGGATTTCTTTGAGACCGTATTTTTGTGATTGCTTTAGGAAACATTTTTCCGAAAGCAAGAAGTCAAGTACAATAACATGTCAAATGTTTTACAAGCATATAGCGTTGTTGCGTAGTTAGGTACTGAATTATAAATGACTTATATATTCTTCACCTTTAACGAGATTTAGAGCACTCGGTACGGTAGCAGTCAATGGGCCAGCTTTGTTGTTGTTTATGTAGGTTAGGGTGTCCCATAAATGGCCGAAAAAAAAAATTTTTTTAGATATTGAAATGCATACCCTCTATTTCTTTTAGTACTACTCAGAAAAATTTCATCTTCCTACGTCAACATTAACCCGTGCCGACTAAGCTCTGAAGATTTTGAAAAATGCTGGTTTTATCCCTTTGGTTATGTAGCTTAATCAATTAAAATATTTAAATTTTATAAAATATTTATATAAAGAAGATATCAGACAATATATTTTACTTTTGAGGGTCCCTTTTTTACATTCTGGATACAGATTTCCATGCTCCTGAATATTGGCCTGATTTTTGCTACACTGTGCCACAGAATAAGTAATAGTACAGGTACAGAAGGATTACTCCGCAAGACGATTTAAATAAATGCGAGTCTTGCTACGACGCGATACAGTGGAATTAACCTACAATTTTATTCACCTACAAGTTTTGTCTCTTTCTATCGCGTGCCTCTGAACTCTTCTTACGCTGTTAGGGTTGCTGTCTAGTAGTGTCTAGTAAAAAAATAATTAATCTACTTATTTGTTATGAGATACGTATGTAGGTAAGTACGCATTCATTATGGAAAACCTTGGGAGAGGCCTTTGCCCAGCAGTGGACGTCATTTATTTTGGCTGAAACGAACGAACGCATTCTGAGCAGTAGTCATGGTAGGTTAGGTTCCTATACTATCCTAAGAATTATTGATTACCTACATGGTCAACATACCTTTCAGCATCTTTGGGAAGCGAAAAAAAAAGATAAATCCGGTAGATTTCTTTTCGAATTTAAACACCCGAACGCCGCACAATAATATTTCTTTCTTTTTATGTCCATTTTTAAATAATACTTCGATCATAGAATTAGTTACTACAACGCACGCCAGCGTCCTGACGGGCGCGCGCGTGACACTCGACTGATATAATACCCGCCGGCGGGGCACTTCGCTGTAGGTAATTATCGGATGTACCGCGCGGAGTGAGCCAGGCCTGACTGTGCGTAGCAAAAAAAGCTTTTTCTCTTCCTTTGCAGTGATCAAACAATTAAAATCTTGCATAAGCTTTATAGCTCTCTCAGCTGTATCATTAACTACCCTTAAAGAAAGCACTTTTTTGCTTTTAAATAGGCAACATCTTCATCTCATTTAGAAATGGGTCTCAGGGGAAAATTCTTATCAATTTTCAATGGAAAAAATAATAAATGTATAGTCTTGACAGACACTAAATCACTCAATGGGTTTCCAGCAACAATAAATAAGGCAGTATTATTATCAATTCATTAAAAACATGATAAAAAAGTTAGTACTAGTCCTATTTACCATAGAAATAATCATACCTTCTTCAGATGGAATGTATATCTTCCCAGAATCATACATACTCTCTCTTTGTACTTTTACTACAGAATGGACATGGCGCACAATTTTTATTGAAGATGCCAAAAAAAACTACAAAAAATTAGAATGAGTACTGTATTTTTACTTTTTTGATATCTTTAAAAATGACTGAAATATTCAAACTCAAAGTGCGCTCTTCCGCTAGTAGCGATTTTCCGCGCGGATTTTAAAAATGTGACGTAGTAACATGAAAAGCAGCATGTAAGATATTATCTGTGTACAATGGTTAGAATGGTTAGTAGGGGAGCCGAAGCGGGAATTTCGGGACTTACTAAAGAGTGGCAGACTAACATACAAGGAAATACTTTGTACCTGGTTGATTACCTCTAAGTATGAATTTTTGATATAAAACGGCATTAGTTCCTATGCCTCTCACCCAAAAAATACCTCAATTAAGCCCAAATTTGAGACCGCAGCCAAACTTTGAGTGACGATGGAAACTAGCCTAGATGGAGGACACATGAAATTGAACTTCTGCTTCTTCATTGATAAAGACTTATCATTTACCATACCTTATCATTTTGTATTCCATTTTCAAGTTACTTTTTTTTCGCTTACTGTAAAACAAAACGTGGGATTTTTTTAAATCTCAGGTCTTTTGAACTCACATCTGAACGATGTCTGGTTTTAATTTCTTCAGTTACTTCGTGACCATGGCGCTTGCAACAGTGCCGAAATATTGGAAACTCAAAACTAAGGTACATGGTAGCAATCCCGTCAGTAATAATAATAGGAAAATGTCTTGAAAAATAAGTAAATCGTATATTACTTTATGTAACTAATTTTATTATGTATCATACTTATAACTAATCACTTCATTCAGAACTAGAAAACGATTCCAAGGATTCCACTTTTCTTCAATAGATGATCAACATAAAGAGGTATTTATTATAAATTGCTCTTCCACCATTTTAATTATTCTATCTTACATCTTACTTGATGAAATCTTTTTCAATTTTATTTACATGGTCATAACATTTTCACCATTCCTCTGCACCAATTTGTGAGGTACACCTGAAACCCCCGATAAAGCAGCTATTATAAGAATAATATTGGGCGCGCGCGCGGCTATAAACGAGGTCACAAAATTGTCCAAGTAAAATTAACAAATAACTGGACTATTTACTCGTTATTGAGCACAGAGACACAAACTTGGTTATTTTTCCAGAAAATTTATATTTAAGTGCATAAATGTAAAAATGGCTTCATATTGCACAAAATTGGCAATAGGTGGCATAATAATGGTTACTTTTTTAGCGCCTAGTTTGAAATGTGATTGAACGATGACAACGTAACAACAGATGTCAGTTAGGTAAAATTTTGTTTTAGTTGGAAAAGACAAAAAGTGGTAAATGGGTTAACGTGCGGGGGCTGCAAAATCATGTTGTGACGTCACGCGCGAATATTGGAAATTTTTGAAAATTTTAAAAAGTCCGTGAACTTCTCGAGGCTCTATCTTCGGTAATACTGGATGGATTGAGGTGAAATAAAAACTAGTGTAATGTGTGTGATCTAAACTTTAAATTAAGTCATAATTTAACTTAATATTACAACTTATGCGTGTTATCCATTGACGGTGTTTGTTCATTACCTTCATCATCAAAGAGTGATAAAACGGCAATTTCTTCTGACATGAAGTAACAAAGATGTTGACTAAACTTGCTCAAGGCTGCTTTGGAAATCAATTTGTCAACACTCTCATATACCTTTTGGAAAGTGGATGTCAAGAGTTCCTTAGGGCTTTCATCAGAGCTGGTAAGTTGGTCGTGATGATTAAGGCTTGGTATTTCTTCTAAAGTAGGTATTTCGCGCTGTCAAAATCTGCGCGCGCAATTCTTCGCCGAAAACAGCGCGTCAAAGAGCTCCCGCCACAATTTCCAGCTACACAGTATAGAAATACGCAGTTGGTTAGGTTAGGTTGACTTCCTTCCTTTCAAGCGTCACACTCACAACACTTTCTAATAGAAATCATATCCAAGTGATACAAATTAGAACACCTTTCAGACTTTTTGGGAATATATTCTAGAATAGAATAAATATAAAATATAACTGCAGAAGTAAACACTGTTCAAAGTGGCCGTGGCGTCGCCCGACCTTCTGGAAGTTCCCGTTAATAGCCCTAGAGAATATTCTTAACTGTGCTCAAAAAAAATCTTAGCCTTTTATTTTACTGTTTATTACCTCAAAAATGAAAAATGAGAACCTCATTTTCGCCATTTTCTCTGTTACCCGGCCTTAATTGAGAACAAATGACAATACCGCGAATACGCACCGCTACTGCCGCGCAACATGTTTCGATGCAAGTCGGCACGGGTTATCGTACTCCAAATAAAGTAAAAATTTATTTCCGAGTGTTTTAGTGGCAAACAAACAAAACTAAGACCTATGCGTTACAAATTTAAAACTTTGAAAATTATGGGACACCCTAATGTAGGTATATCATTGTTGGTATGATAAGTGGAACAGGAATGTTTCTACGTCAATTTTGCAATTTTTTGATAAATCTATACTAATATTATAAATGCGAAAGTAACTCTGTCTGTCTGTTTGTCTATCTGTCTGTCTGTCTCTCTTTCACGCCTAAACCACTGAACCGATTTTGATGAAATTTGGCATAGAGATAGTTTGAGTCCCGGGAAAGGACATAGGATAGTTTTTATCCCGTTTTTTGAAACAGAGACGCGCGCGATAAAGTTTTTCTGTGACAGACAAAATTCCACGCGGGCGAAGTCGCGGGCGGAAAGCTAGTCAATGATAAACCAAATCTTCTCTTCTTCACATCTAAAACCATAAAGTCAACAAGCTTTTACCGAATCGTTTCCTAAAAAATAATATCGAACACAATGAAAATTCTCCCCCACGCGCCACTTCACCAGCGAGTCGTCCCAGACGTGTACTACTCGTGTACTAACCTGAGCACGCAGTAGTCCCGGGCGGGCAGGTTGATGCTGGAGGCGGTGAGGTACTGGAACACCTCCGCGTTGGAGCCCAGCTTCTCCACCACGCGCCACTTCACCAGCGAGTCGTCCCAGATGTGGCGTTCGCGCAGTATCCTGCAGACAATCGAAAGTTTCATAATCAGGACTTACAATTATAACAACTTTTGAAAGATACATAGCTGTTCAGATCAGGATCAGGTGTTCCAGGAATAAAGCTGTTGATCGAAAACAGCAGAAGAGAAGTTGAATGTAACTTCTGTAACTTGATGAATTCGCAGTTTGAGAGAATTGTCCATGTTAGCACCAATTTGAACTGCTACACCTCTATGACGAATGACGATCTGGGCGTTTGATCTGCGTCGCGTCATAACCGTGCGTTGAGGACTTCAGATAATATTCTGACTGCTGAGTCATGTCCAAAGTTAGAATAAACACACATGTCTTATACTCCAACTTGGTTTACGAAAGGCAAAGTCTATGAGTGGATTTGGTAGCGCTACAGTATCTTATCTTCATCTTCCTACTATACCTTTAAAATATCCCACATTTGCTTCTGTTTAATTAGAGAGGGTCGTTCTCCAGATATAGGACCAGGTACATTTAATTGAAAGGCTGTTGAAAATATCCTTACCTCTGCATGACCTCCTGCGGAGGCGCCTCCACATCAGTAGTGGCCCTCCAGAGCCTCAGCGGGTGTCCGTCGCCCACCTTCTTGCAGCACAGCTCCACGTGAGGCGCGGCTCCTGACACTGACATCCAACCACGAGTCCTGGAACACCAGGTGGAATTCGTTAGAGAATGAAAGGGTCTTCGTGAATCACTGAGTCGTTAGTGATGTGTTCTTGAATAGTTGTAGTTAGGTAACACATTTGACTGGTTGCCTTTTGAATAAGTGAAGCGTTTGCAGCGTTGGTAGCATTGTGGTCTGTTGGAACTGGTGTAGAGTTGATTTCAGTGTATTTGAACTCGTAAGTCCTAGTTTTATTTGGAATAGTGGTTACTCTGTTTGAAAATGATCAACTTATAGGGGTCTAAAAACATATTAGTAATATAATGTGTTTATAGATCTATCTTGAAAAAGTGCTCAGTTTTTTTTAACTCCTCTGTTTATTCTAAATCTTGGAAGTTTATTCAATAGTTTTCTAGTCTACTTGTATTTAATTTCGTGTGCTTATTACGACAAAAAAGTGTTAGAAAAATCTAGTGACATTACAAAACACCTAAGAGGCCACGATTTGCTACAATGAGAATGAAGTGAAGATTGAAATTCACTATGAAGGGACAAGTTTTCTGATCTTTACACAATATTTTCTATTCGTGCAACTTTAGATTGAAGCATTCACTACCGATTAAGTAAATGCAATATTAATTTGTGTAGAAATCAGAATAATATTAAACACCAATGGTAAGGCGACTGGGTAACGCGCTAACACCGAGTCTCACCTCTTCCCCGAGCGGCCACACACTCTACAAGCATGAAACAAGATACACTATAAGACAAGAGACACTTCAGGGGGCAAGGAAAAGTAACATCCGATGTATTGGAATGGAAAGGCAAAGTTGGAGTCAAAGCTTAAACTAGTAGTTCGTCACTTCACAACAAATTTAAAAATATGTAGAGAGAAAAATACTATAGACGTCAGTATTATTATGGTCAGTTCGAAAGTCTTCATTCTGAATAAGTTCATAATCTACTTGTATTTGAAGATCTTATTGAAAAGCATGAACTGCTTCTACCGTAACTAGGAAGCGAAAACAACTATAGAATTTTAATAGTACTGATGTTACTTTGTCTATAGGCTCAGATAGGAAACCATGGTCTAATAGTTACAGTATTTGAAGTTCACATTCAGTAATAGATTCAAAGTACAGGGAATAGCACTCACTTTTCTTTGGCTTCTTTTAGTAAAGCTTTGATGCAGGCTTGCTGAAAACCCTTCCAGTCTTGATTAAAGTCTGCCCCTAATTCTTCTAGCGCTACCTGCAATAAAGGAAGCAATATAATTAGCAATCATACGGTGAGCGAGATGGCTTCGATTATAGTCAACAATGTTCTCTCTTACTATCCTTGGAAATAATAATGGGACGCTCATCTGTCACTGTTAACCCTCACGCACGAACAGGAATGCTATCCAGTGTGTTTTTGTCTCTGGTAATGTACACGCCGGTATATGCTTAGGAGAGTTTACTACTGAACCTATGTTCATTGGGGAAGGCCTATGCCTTCCCCAATGATTTCAAGATTGGGAATGGCCTACACCCAGTGCTTTATTGCATTCTTTATGAGCTTATCATCTGTCCACCTTGTGGCAATGGGCAGGGCACTTAGCACTCAGAACTGATGGCCGATGGGGCAGCAAGGTTCTGGAATGGAGGCTACGTACCGTCGCGCAGCGAGTGACGCCCACCCCCAAGGTTTTCAATTTACTGCAACGCAAATATTGTATTCACCAGCAAGCCACCACTATTCTTCTGCTTAATACACTGAAGCCTATTTCTTTTGACTAAACCCTGGAAAGACACTCACCGGCACCCTCTCCTTGAAGTAGTTGCTTTGGTACTCAGTCGGATAGCTGCCGATTCCTAACTGCTGATTGCTTCTGCCTAATACCCTGGAACTGTGGAAGATCACTTACCGGCACGCTCTCCTCGAAGTAGTTGAACTTGCACCGCGCGAGCATGGCGGCGGGCGCCAGGAACAGCGTGGCGTGCCTCTGCCTAACACCCTGTTGCTGATGCCTTTTGTCTTATACCCTGGTTCTGATTTCTTCTTTCGGCCTAATACTCTGGTGCTGATTCCTCCTGCCTAATACCATTTGGAACTTACACCCTGTTTGCTGACTCACCGGCACGCTCTCCTCGAAGTAGTTGAACTTGCACCGCGCGAGCATGTCGGCGGGCGCCAAGAACAGCGTCGCGTGGCGCTGTATGAGCAGCAGCAGGCACGCGTGCGCCGCGCGGCTCTCGCTGATCTGCCGCTGGTCCGCCACGCTCTCTATCACCATCCTAGAGACAAATGTATAGTTATGGCATTTGTGGTCTACTGGCTAAAATCAAAGTCAAAAATCAAAAGCAAAATCAAAAATATTTATTCAGTTTAGACCACAAGTGGCACTTATGAACGTCAAAATAATATAGTAAATAATAAAAAAGAAAAGGTAGCCTTTATGGGGCTCTTTACATGTCTCCTTATCTTTTGGGCCCTACCAGCGCTTCGAGACAAACATATTATTATGGCAAGTGCTGAGAAGAAACGCCGGAACAAACTCAGCTAAGGAGTTGCATTCGCTATCTATCACCATCCTGGATGCAGATTGCAGATATACAGTTATAAACTGTGGTCTTCTGGTTAGAGAGTTGTATACGCTCTCTATGACCACCTTGGATGCAAATGTAGATTTTGAATATTAGAGAAGATCTACCGGTTAGAGAAGGATGCTTGAGCTGAACGATTGGTACCTGATTTTCTAAACGAAGCACTTAAAGAAAGTTGCAGTTTGTAATTGGTTATAGGGTAAGAAATAATATTCTGGTCATCAAAGTGTACATTAAGGCGCAGGATTGCATGAGGCTAATGATATACCGACGTAACAAAAATGGTAAAGAGACTGCTGCTGCATATATGCAAGAACAAAAGAGCAAAGACCAAAAGAGATAAAAGACGTTAGAAGTTAAGTGTTCGTTCTAGTGTTGTGACCACGATGTGACTTCCAGTATACAATTTGACAGAACGTTGAAGTGGTTTTCCTAAACTTTAAACCAGTCTTTCCCAAAGTGGGCGATAACGCCCCCTTGTGGGCACTGCAGGCTTAAAGAGGGGCGGTAAGAGGCCCAGAAAAAAAATCGGGACGTTGTGTAGAGGCTTGGAAGGCATCATCTACTAGGAGGACTCTTGGACACCGACTGAGCTCGACTCTTGACTACAAAAATGCGGGGCGCTAAAAAATCATTTATTCTCAAAGTGGGCAGTAGACTAAATAAGTTTGGGAACCGCTGCTCTAAACCCTGGTGGTTTGTTGGCTGACCTGTTGGAGTTGCCCTCCTTGGTGGAGCCGGTGGCGGGCGGCGCGTGGTGCAGGCGCAGCAGCGTGGGCGCGAGGCACACGGCCAGGTTCGACGCCGTCATCTGGTTCACGCCCGCGTGCTCCGACACCTGAGGGGATAACAGTTGCTGTAGTCACTTCAACCAATGGCAGTCTATTGCTAGATTTAAGGCTCCTCCAAGAAATGCCACAAAGCATCAAGTTTTGTGTAGTGCCCGTTTGGTGTAGTGGTTCGAAACGGACTACTATTCCGGAGGTAGCGGGTTCGATTCCCGCACAGTACAAACATTTGTGTGCATGAACATATTTGTTTGTATTGGACTGGGTGTTTTCTATGTATAATAAGTATGTATTTACAAAAAAAAAGTATTTATGTATGTTTATACCCGTTGTCTAGTACCCATAGTACAAGCTTTGCTTAGTTTGGGACTAAAAGCGCAGTGTAAAATGTCTAAGGATATTTATTTATTATTTATTAAGTGTGCATTTTCTGCAGAAGTACAGTGTGGAATACGTACATTATTGTCTTTTTATTTAAAAGATTTTTGTTTTTGTATTTTAATTACCCTTTACTTAAGCTTACCCTCCTGCCCTTTTACTGGTTGTTTCCCACCCTCCAACTAAGGGAAAAGGAGGAGGCTGAAAATAAGCGCGGGGTAGGGTATGCCTGGCCTCGCTTATGTTGAGCCTCATCCTTTTTCCTCTTATGTTTTTTTTATCCTATGTTTGTAAAGCATGTAAAAACGAGGCAATAAAGTAATATATTATTATTTAAAAAAAATCCTTGAATGTAAGTCTAATAGACATTGTACAGATGGGGTAGTAAATTTGGCGCGCAACACTAATTTTCGCGAGGCTACTACGTTGAACACTACACAGAGATGCATTTATATGGCGTAAAACACGACTTGCTCTCGCCCAGAGAGCGATAGCACATGCGACATTATCTCTATGGTTGTCAAAGCAAAGTGTGCAATGTACCTACTGACAAACTATCCCGTAGTTACAAGACTATAGAAATAGTGATAAAAATTGGCTTACCTCATAAAGGAAAATAAGTAAAGAATGTAAAGCTTCTAAATGTTCTTCTGGTAACAGCAACAGCGCGCACTGGACAGCGTCTGGCCTCAAAGGTTCAGGCACATCTGAGGAAAATACATTCAAATGCTTTACATGTATCAATCACCAAGTAACCTTCAAGATTTCATATTGTCCAGCTCTTCAAATTCCAATGATGTCCAAAGCAAGGTTATGTGCACCAATGCACTACCTACAGGACTGTTAAGATTAAGTTTTTTACGTGTTCCTTAAAAGAGAAGCTTGGTGATGGCATTGAAAGTCCAATTTAGACTATCCTGGCAATGGACGCACGAGCCATAAAATTGTGATTGGATGACCATAGGCTGCCCTCGTTGAAAAATCAATGGAAGATCAGAATTGAATGACGATGGAACTTACGTTGGAATATCGCAATAAAAGTCTCGCTGAGCTTATTAGTGAGCAGTGCATCGGGCAGCTCCCTAAAGTACTGCTTGACCATATCAGCCACGTCGTGTGCCTGCGCGCCGTCGAAGCTGAGGCTCGACTGTTCCGGCGCCACCGTGTTCATATTCTCTATCGCGAAGGCTGCGTTGGAGGCGCCGGCTGATTCAACGGTGCTCCGGAGTTTCGCTATTCGGGATTTGACGCCCGCTTTGCGGAATATGCCCATCTGGAATAGGGAATATGAGGTTAAAGCTATGGTCACAAAATATAACAGAAGGTAAACTCATGTATGTACTTCGCTTTGCATACCTGCGCTCGGCCGTCGCGCTAGGGTTGTCTTGTTCTGTGTTGCGTTTATTTCGTTATGATAGAAAAATGTAACTCTTAATACTATGGAAGAAAGACAATAACAGATATCCTCATTATCCACGTATAATTATGTAGTTATGTTTAGTACGTTATTATTATAGTAATAGTTTGCAAACAAATACATGAGAAGGAAGTGGTATCACGTAGTATGTAGTTGGGTGGTCAACCACCCATATAATTATTCAAAATCAAAAATATTTATTCAGTTTAGACCACAAGTGGCACTTATGAACGTCAATAGAAAATAATAAAAAAAGAAAAGGTAGCCCTTATGGGGCACTTTACATGTCTCCTTATCTTTTGGGCCCTACCAGCGCTTCGAGACAAACATATGGCAAGTGCTGAGAAGAAACGCCGGAACAAACTCAGTCACCACTTATTGCCAGGAATTATCTAACGGTAAGAATAGTCAAATTTAAGTACATCAAATATGTGCAGACTGAACTGACCACGCATCCTTGTCATCAATATAGTCTCGAACCTTGTAGTACCCTTTGGACATAAGGGTATTTTTTATATGTATCTTAAATTTGTTTATTGGCAATTCGACAAGGTTGTGTGGTATTTTGTTAAATATGGTAATACATTTCCCCAAGAATGAATTACCTATCTTATGCAACCTAAATGATGGAACAGCAAGTTTATTCTTATGTCTCGTGTTAAATGAGTGGACGTCACTTTTCTTAGTAAATAAATGTATACGTTTACGGACATACTAATGTTATCAAATATGTATTGCGAAGCCACAGTCAATATATTGATTTCTTTAAAGACTCTAGTGTCAACACTATTATCCAATAATTCCTAAAACCTCTTTAAAACACTTCGATATTCCTAATAATTGAGTTGGCTTCAATTTGTCAACGTTAAACGAACTATTGAAATACAAATAAATACCTTACTTACCTCCCGGAATCAACTGGTAGTTTAAAAAACGAAAATTTAGTTTTTAATGTTGAGTGTAAGCAACCATCTACTTAACAAATGTTATAATACCCCTTTTTGTTGTTCACTCATTTTCGCATAAACAAAATAATTTCACAAACGCGTGAGCAGCGTCACTCAAGCGAACGCAGTCGCGCCTCGCATTCGTCCGAGACAGTCTTGATAACGCGTACGTGAGCGGTGTCTATGTGTGCGTGGCTCGAGCGCGCTTAGTATGGAGTTTACCTTCTGTTATATTTTGTGCTATGGTGGCCCAATCTCCTCGAAAGATTTGCAATTAGAAGCCACGATAGCCGAACGGTGAAGGGGTCGGACTGGCCGACTCGTGATCCGGGAAACGCGGGTTCGGTCCTCGCCGCCGCTGACCATTGTGGTGAGCTCACTCGTGACCCAAGCATAATTAGCTTAGCGAGGGGCTAACGGGACTATTTAGTAATATGTGTAATGTAATAACAAATTACTAATAATCTTAAAAAAAGTTTCGATAGAAAGGTAGGTTCAGAAATTTTTCACCGTCGGCAAACAGCTTATCCTGGCCTAGGCACTAGCATAACCATGACTTTTTAATAATAGAGCGGGAAGTAATAAGGAGTGTCATAATGTTACCTGATCTAAAGCATTGTTTTTCAGCCAGCTGAGCGCGCACTGTATGGGCTTCGGTAATGAGTGACCCGTCCTTTGTAGCGATACGGTGAGTGGAACACCGAATACTGTTTTGTCTGAAACGAGGAAAGAAACTTTCATGTTAGCCAGAGATAAATAATATTTTCTTTTCTTCGTTGGATGGTATTCAAATAATAGAGTTTTGATCTCAGACTACAGCCCTAGGTAGCTCTAATCAGTGCAAATGCTAATGGTATAGAAGTGAGTCGAATTGCAGCATGTTTCAAAAGTGTAGTCGATATAAGTAGATGATTTTGAACACTGCGTGAATGCACTGAGTTGACCATCAACTGACCATAACCACTCTGTCAAGAATGTAACCACTGAGAAGAATCTTCTTCTGCCTTCAGCCTGACCATACGTCATTTGAGCCACGCATGGCCAGGCAGTAGAGTTGCTGGTAGAAGGTACTTAGTCTTTATTACTTGGCCATGGCCATGCTGTAGTTGTTCTTAGAAAATGTGCCTTACCTTTGTAGTAGCAGAATCGCTAAAATCAAGTGGCAGTGGGCGGGGCACATAGCGGAGAGCTGATGGCCGCTGGGGCAGGAAAGTTCTTGAATGGCGACCACGAGCTGGAAGACGTAGTGTGGGCAGGCCTCCCACTAGGTGGACCGACGATCTGGTGAAGGTCGCGGGAGGTGCCTGGATGCGAGCGGCGCAGGACCGGTCTTTGTGGAAGTCCTTGGGGGAGGCCTTTGTCCAGCAGTGGACGTCCTTCGGCTGAAACGAACGAACGAACCTTTGTAGTCTGGAGTCTTGATCTTCCTGATGAGCTTGGGCAGCTCCCAGTTCCAGCCGGACTTGTGCGAGGGGCAGTAGCGCTCCATGCACGCCGTCAGCCGCAGCAGCGCTAGCTTGCGCAGGATATGAAGCTGCCCGCACGAGAGCGACGACATCGGCCTGGATACTGGGGGTAAACAATTTACAATGAGTCTTCAACTTTCAGGACCCATGCACAGTGTTTTTCGGAGAAGGAGACGGAGTTTTATTGGATTTAAACATTCAACATACGGTATACGAGAAGTCAAATGAGAACTATGATTTTTGATCGGACGTACTAAGGAAAGGCTCTGATGTGATACACATCTAACCTTTTTGACTACTAATACACAAGTTCCATATTTTGCATTTTATAGTGGTTGGAAACAGAATTATTATAATGCTACCGTATGTCGTTTTACATAGGACCGTTTGAAACGATATAGATGTAGAATTTTTGGAATAAATGAACGAAAAGGGAAAATTTTATCCATCAGCTTATAGACTATATAATACATAATTGGTATTTACGGTATGCTTCAGGGTCCTTCTGGGTGGGGGTGGTGGGCTGCAGCGTGTTGTTGGCCTTCGGACCGCCGTTCAACGCACTCGTTCTAAACGAGTACCATCTTTGGATATTGTTTCTGTAATGAAAGAAAAATTGTGGTATAAAAACTTATGACCATAATAATAATATGTTGGTTGGGCTAAATCAAGCCTTTCGCAAGTAATTTTCACCCAAGATTACGGAGTAACTGACTATCTTACCTCCAAGTGCTGAAACTGTTGTTAAGGCAACAGAATTAGTTAAGATCGTGGTAGCTGGCCAGGCAGACTTCTAAATTAGGAATTTTCAAATTGACCTCAGGGTCTGAAGATAAAATGGTCTTACCACTACACTAAAGAGGCAGTTTATAGTTTGGCTGAAGGAATGAGTTACTTCTTGGATTGTCGTCCGGCTGTGTTAGAGCCGCTGTCAATGTATTTGTTTATAATTTAAGACTTACTTCTTGGTCTTAATATCGAGGCTGTCATCATCATCGTCCTGGTCGCCGTCGTGCGAGCGCGAGCCGGCTGAGTGTGGGCTGCCCTCCAGCTCTGAGCTGCGCGATGCTGACTTGTCCCGCTTCAGGCTCCGGTCGCGGAATCTGGAAGGATGTTTGATTTTCAAAGGTCAACCCTGGGTTTGTTGAAGAATTCACCTTTGTCTTGCTTTGGAATGAGTCAAATTGAGAATGAAAACTNNAAAAACTATCCCTCGTTTAGTAAATTGTGTGATCCCCTTTATTGCTATTTTTTATTTGTTAGTCTTATTATATTACGAATGGTATTGTTTTACAGTTTTTTTCCTGCATCAGCATAAATTAGGGTGGGTGTACCAGTAACAAACCGAATAAGCGACATTTCAAAAGTAATTTTGATATTGTGACTCAATTATTACAACAATAATTGCAAAAAAAATAATTAACTACTCCTTGTCTATCATAGAATCAAGTAGCTTATTCCAATTTTGTTAATAGCTGTAAGGTTTATTTTTATTTAACAATCAATGTGGAAAGTCGCAATGTGCCTAAGGTTGACCAGATCGTACAAGTCGTGTTTGTCGCTTTTATTTATGACTAATTATTGGTAGAAGTACGGCAGTGCTACCAAACGTAACAAAAGTGGCGGGAAATTCGACAGATTGTTAATATTTTGATGTGCAATTAGAAATGGTGTACTACAGGTTCCTGGTGTAGGACTGGTGCACCCACCTACCTAAGGTCTTTCACTTTAAACATCAACAAACTTTTAGATTTTGTATTTTAACACTCTCTTCAAATCACTACTTAATTTGGCATTTGTTTTTTCCTCACTTCATTTAGATTCTTCACTGTTCAAACCACTATGCAATGTAGTAAGTTCACTTTTTAGCACATGCTCTTCCACAGTTCACAGTTCAAGTGCAAGCATTTCACTGGCCGCGTACGCATCGCGTCCGACATTAGCATACGAATAAGACATTTGCGCATCACCATTCATCATTAACGTTTGGTTAATGAGTTCACCATTAGCGGCCGCTTTGAAACGAGGTTCATGGTGAGCTTGGTGAATGTTAATAAATCTGCGGTTGATTTAGTTTTTTAATTGGCTATATGGCATGGTCATTCACTATTTTCTTTAGATTAAGGATCTTCAATTTGATCAAAAAGTTGTTCAGTAGATTTACAGAAAAAATAAGATATGTTAGCTTTTTTAAGGTAATTTTTCCGTTTGTATTATTGAAGGTATCGATGAACTTGAAAACGTTATTTTTACTCGTATTATCATCAATGTTATTTGATTAAATAATGCATGTGAAGATCCATTGTTTAAACATTATTCTTCTGACTCATTTATGTAGCTTCTAATTGATTGCCAATTAGTTAACAATCGTGATTCGTGGGAACTAATATGTGTCAGTTCTATTGTCTACCATATTCCTTACGGCCGTTTTGTAAGCATAGCTGACCTTATCGCTCTAACTTTTCTTTCTCGAATTGAATTCATTCTTTCCATAATGATTTAAAAGCATTAGCTATAATATCAATGAGCGATTAGTAAATTACTACAACTTTCAACTTGAGTTTAACCAATACAAGTTAACTAACAAGTTAAGCCGTCTTAGTGAGGTCGAAATTGTATTACATATTCGAACTTGTCCCGATTAGACTAAGAGCTAGTGAACGCCAGACCTACGTTATTTTATAAAGGCTGAAAGTTTGTCAGCACATGCTCCCAACATAGCTAAGAACCATGGCCAAACATGAAGTTTAGGTCATGGTGGCTTTGGCAGACAGACGGTACTAAAGGTGTGTAAAATACTAACCTAATTACGTCATAGTATAAAGGCTGATTTTTTGATATTTCCTTCAAAATGTTATTAGAAATGACGTCATTAATTGACAGACACCTACCATGGTGGCAGCCCTTAGCCAGACACCTTAAAGTTCATGAAAATGTAGTCCTACTTACGTCATACTATAAAAGCTGATATTTACATAAAATATTTGAACTATCATTTGATGAAGTTTCCTCATCAGCCAGACACTTCTGATGGTTCCTTCGCCTTGCCAGACAGCTTTTAGGTTGGCTGAAAGTGCGAACGCGAGGTCAGCCACCCTAAAAGCTGTCTGGCAAGGCGAAGGAACCATCAGAAGTGTCTGGCTGATGAGGAAACTTCATCAAATGATAGTTCAAATATTTTATGTAAATATCAGCTTTTATAGTATGACGTAAGTAGGACTACATTTTCATGAACTTTAAGGTGTCTGGCTAAGGGCTGCCACCATGGTAGGTGTCTGTCAATTAATGACGTCATTTCTAATAACATTTTGAAGGAAATATAAAAAAATCAGCCTTTATACTTTGACGTAATTAAGTTGGTATTTTACACACCTTTAGTACCGTCTGTCTGCCAAAGCCACCATGACCCAAACTTCATGTTTGGCCATGGTTCTTAGCTATGTTGGGAGCATGCGCTGACAAACTTTCAGCCTTTATAAAATAACGTAGGTCTGGCGTTCACTAGCTCTTAGTCTAGATAGCTTAGCGTGACCCGCTACTTGAAACTTGGCGAGTGGAGCACTTACTACGTAAAGCTACAGTTGGAAATGTTGGCTGTGCGGTTATTGGATGTGACATTCGGGTGATGTTATGGGAATTTGGGTTGACAACCCATTTGAATGTAGTTAAATCTGTTTTAGATTAGAATAAGAACATAATACCAAATATAGTTCATATTTTGATAAGGTATTCTTAACAAAACAAATAAGTGTGATGAAGTGATTGTATTATAAATGTTGGTCTAGAAAACCATTTTAAAAACACTTTAGTTGAACAAAGAGAGTCCTATTAAAATGAAAAGATGGAAAACACAAAGATAATCCTGATAAATTAGCCGAGAGCTTCAGATAATGCATTATTAAGATTGCGGTGCTAGAAAATAATGTTGCTTGGAAAATTGTTCGTTATTTTTGAAATATTCATCATTTTCAGCCAAAGAACGTCCACTGCTGAAAATAGGCCCCCTCTTGCTACGCAACCTATATTAAATAATGTGTCCACTTTATCTTTATATCATCAGCCTACTTCAGCCCACTAATAGAGATACTGCTGCTACTCATAGCTTCACCTTGCTATGAATTGCCATAACGCGATCTACCATCTTACTTTAACAAACGTCAAAAGTCTGTCAAACTCCATACAAAAAATACCGGTTTTGGTTATATTTACTGTTAAAGTAAAATGGTGCACGTCAGCTCTAAGTAGGTACTTTATTATGACTGTGAATCAAATTAACAATTATTCACTCACTTCTGTCCATCCTTCCCCAGGTTAAGTGAACTGGTCCTGATGGCTTGCCGCCGGTGCGCCGTGTGTCCCGGCGACTTCTGCACCTCCCGTAGGATCTCCGGGTCCGGCTTCAGCTCCACTGGCGATGGGGGTTCTACGTATACCTGGAAGGTAAGTGGTAGTTATGTAAGAAATTACAGGTTGATGGAAGATATTTGGCTTGGACAGAAATTATTTTTGTGTTTCATGGAGATCAGAAGACGAATTCTGATTAGAAGCTGGCGATAAAATTCAGTCATAAATTTATTAATCACACTAATCGTGTTTACAATATTAACGAACTCGTAGGTTATAATTAAATTCTTCTAAAACACATCGCCGAGACCACAGCGAGAGTTAGATATAATAATGTGTAGGTACTCTTCAGTAGTATACATAATAATGAATTCCAAATCCGTACAGCGTAGGCAGGTACAGCTAATTTATAAGATGACCAAATTATCACGTGTTTGCATTTATCAAATAAATTATCAACGTTAGTATTTACCTCTGTATTATGATGAGTATTATGATCCTTGTAGTAATTGTGTCTCCAACTAGCCGGCTGACACTCCGAATCACTCAACGCGCTCGAGTCATCATTCTTGATTCCTCTATGAAATATCCTTTTCGCTCTTCCTAATTTTGATTTTGAACTTTTATTGCTAGAGCCCATGCTGCCGTCTGACGCGTAACTTGAGCTGTCGTCTCCAAAAGGAGCGTTTAAAACAAACGATTGTTCTAGAGGTGCTATAGGTGATGGAGGCATTACGGTCATGGGGGAAGGAGGTTGCGTTCTGATCGCAGGCGCGTGAGCTGGTGAACTATTGAAGTCTGGAAAAGGGAATGCTGTAGGCGTCGTTGGCGTCATATCTATGTAGTTCAAATCTGGATATCTATCCGCTTGCACGTCTAGAAAATGAGGCGATGAGACGATGACTTCTGTTCTGTTCTGGCGTTTTCTTCTTCTAGTTTTGAGGGATTCTACTCGTCTGAGTAAGGCTTTGGCACCATCTCGGAGGCGTTCGGAACCAGTCCGTCTAAATCGGGTCCCCGTGTCTTCTTCATCTTCTTTGTCGCTTGGTAACTGTATCATGGTCTGGCCTGGGATTGTTAATCTGAAACGATAGAATGGAAAGTTTATTTTTTATTTTTTTAAGAACTTTGTTTTCACACAACTGAGTGTTACACTCAGCATTGTTATCTTAGTAATGAACAACGGATCTTCTGGACCTCAGTCCAGAGAGTACAGCCTCTAATGGCCATGGGTTCCTTTTTGTAATACGACAAGAAACCTTTAGTTACTTTGTTCTACTTCAGAGCAAACACAGTTAGCAACTGCCATCAGACCTAATTAATTAAGGGGTCCATATTGGCTCACCTAAAGTTATTTACCCGAAATTGTTCTTCCTAACGATTTTAAATCCGAATGATCACTCTTCCTAAAATTTTTCATCCTAAAGTTTTCATTCATACTATTTGTAGTGCTACCGGCGATGTTCATAACACTCATGTTTCCGAAAATTGTAATTAATAATATCATTTATGTAAATATATTTAAACTCCTACTGTTTTTTATCATAACACTTTTATCCCTAAACATTACCATAATATTTTCACTCATACCATAGAATAATAATAAATACTACGTACAGAAGTACGTTCTTCGCGAATGAAACGTAAGGCCACAGTTCTAACCTAACCTAAACCAATAATAATGAATAGACCGATTCGTTTCTGGAACTTGACTGAATGACTGGAGCGGGACTCTGGCTTCGCTCGCTCGGCTCGTGCGTTGTGGTCACAGTTCTAACCTAACCTAAGGCGAAGGAACCATCAGAAGTGTCTGGCTGATGAGGAAACTTCATCAAATGATAGTTCAAATATTTTATGTAAATATCAGCCTTTATAGTATGACGTAAGTAGGACTACATTTTCATGAACTTTAAGGCGTCTGGCTAAGGGCTGCCACCATGGTAGGTGTCTGTCAATTAATGACGTCATTTCTAATAACATTTTGAAGGAAATATCAAAAAATCAGCCTTTATACTTTGACGTAATTAAGTTGGTATTTTACACACCTTTAGTACCGTCTGTCTGCCAAAGCCACCATGACCCAAACTTCATGTTTGGCCATGGTTCTTAGCTATGTTGGGAGCATGCGCTGACAAACTTTCAGCCTTTATAAAATAACGTAGGTCTGGCGTTCACTAGCTCTTAGTCTATGTCTGTACTAGGTCCTAATGAAACATTATACGTTAAATGAAGAAGTCAGTCCGATTGTAACATCTCAGAGGCCAAAATTCATGACTTCAATTGGCACAACCCACTCGTTACAGAAGAAGTAGCTATTCCACACGAGCGTATAAAATTGTTTTATTCCCGTTTCTTATACAATTAACTCAATAACTGCCTATTCATATAAAATTGTGATTACACTAATGAGGTTATAAACACGGTCTTTATTTATTATTACGATTGGAGTTGACTCGTGAGTTTACTGATTAAGTACAGTTTTATACTTAGCTAATCCCAAACTGTGTTAATGGACTGGTTAGGTCATCCGCTAACCGGACTTTAAACCTTAGGTTAAAGAAAACGCCATCCTGCTCCGGGTGATCCTACTTAGCCGATCAAAGTCAATGATGAGATTTTATTCAAACGTTAACCCGGATTTAGGGAAACGTGTGTTAAGTTTAATTGCATCGTAACCGAGTTGGTTGCGCCTCTCGACAGGTGGAGGACGCACGTGTAGCTTCAATGTTGTTCACTTGCGTTATACAGGGTGTCTTGATTTCTCTTGGGCGAAATTCTATTACTGAGTTCTGTTTGCGTAGGCTGTACTATCTGTTTTGGTGACAGATCATGATTCGCCGTAGGCGTATACTATCTATTGCAGAGAAGCATAACATATATTACTCAATAAGTTTTCTTGTGAAATACTTATTCCATTTCATTTTTTTCTATAATCATTAATTTTCGTTTTCCGTTTATTACGATGCCGCGATGTTAGAATCCAGGAAAATAGACTAGGTACATCTTTTATCAGAAAACGGATTTTAGGTCATAGGATTTTAGGTTCCAAAACCCTAGGCTCTTATCGCATATTTCACCTGAAATATCTAAAACATAAGATATTTTAAGTTAGTTTAAATATATTTCATTAGAACCACCATGTATACTACCAGTCACTGAACTCATTAGCGCTGGCAACTGCGCTAGTTCGCTCCCAAATTGATTGGCGTTTAACATACAAAGTAACTCATTTCAATGACGAACAGGCGGTGCCAAAAACGTTAAACTGAACTGCCGCTACTTAGTTGTGGCAGTTCGAAGACCCGATATATTTTATCACCTTTCGTTTCAATAACACTTAATAAATTGTGCATATTAACTCGCTGAAATTAAGGCGGTAACATATAGAGGTGACTTGCTCTACGTGGATACGTTTGCAAGCCAAGAGCTTTCTCATAGTAGATAAAAAAGCTCAACTTGCATGTAATACGTAGGTAAATACAACAACTGTACAACAACTCGCATACATTGCCGATTTTACAGTGCCAGTTAACGCAAAAAATTAACTGCCAGATACAGGCAATCTAGTTAGGACATAATAATAACAGTTGGTGACTCGTGTAATGAACTGGTATGTAAATGTATCCTGTACCTATTGATTGAAAAAGAAGCTGACAAAGGTGACTGAGTTTTTTGCGCCACTTTTTCTCAGTCGATAAAAAAAAATATTGTCCTGAAGTAGAAAAGGGCCTACAAGATTTGATTTGATTTGACCAGTTCCAGGCATGTGTAATCCCGCCTTTAAGCTTCCGCCCATCGGCAACAAAGTCATCAGTCTTCTGATCTCTTATTCATGCTTCCCGTCCAATTAATAAAGTGATATCTTTAGCAATTTAACTACAGCTCTCGGGGAATATTCGTTAATTAATCAACTCGTTATTACTGCAACACTGTGGTCGAGCCCACAAATAAGGGTATCATTCATATGTGATACGATAAGAGAATGCATTTTCGGTACAAAAGTTAACATGACAGGTATTAAGTTAATTGCAAATTTCAAGTTGTTTTTACTGCAAATAGGTATTATAATTTTTTATACAAAATTTGTTTTGAATTACATATTTTGAAATCACATAATTTTCTTTACAATTATTTTCTCTCTCTCTATTTCTTAGTGTGGTGTAATTTACTTTCCCTATGTTTATAAGAAATTGGTTATATCAAGCAAAGATAGTTAATGAACTTTCCACTTTATTAAATCCCCGGCTGAAAGTTCTTGAGTCAGTTAATGTGGACAATGTCCAGCAAACTAAAAGTCCAACGAATAGTTTTGGACAGACCTTAGTTTGCAACTGTTAGCGACAGTGATTGCAAGCTCAGCATCGAACAAGTTTTAATAAGGGTACAAAGTTAGGTAACCTAGGTAGGTATCTCGAAAAATAAGCTGTGTCGAGCGATCTCTGATAATAATATTTATAAAATTTTGCAATTACACTCTATAAGGCTTTAACACGTCCTAGCTAAACATTACTACCTGCTGGTTTGAGTGCATAAATTTGATGAAATTACAATTCAAACTAAAACTAAACACGACGTAGTAGTCGGGTAAAATAATATTTATTAAGTAAAGAAATCAACATTCTTTGATTGTGATAATGCAAAATAATTGCGCTTTTTAGGAAAAATAATTTGGAAACGTTTACAAACAAATACTTACTTATTTAACAAACAATTGAAATTGAAACCAAAACCAATTGTTCGCATAACGAGTATTCTAATCACCGTTAATCATAACTGGAACGAGCCCTTTAACAAATGGCCGGCGAACTTTCTAATTTATAATTTCCCAAACAAACAACTAATTCATTTTCCGGCCCACTTTACACAAAGAGGGCGAACGAGACCTTAAATTGGTTCTTTAATTAGTAATTAGCAAAGATAGCGTCTTCGGCTTATCTTGAGTAATGATGGGAACATCGTTTGGAGGTTTTTTCAAAGAATTTTTGTTATATTTTTTTCTCGACTATGCCCGTGGATTCGTTCACGTGGATTTTTATCTTTCTATAACTTTAGGATCTTTGTTAGCTAGTTTTTAAAAGTTATAAAGGATTTAGAAGATAAACAGAAGATAAACTTCCTAATGATTGCCTAACCAAAGTCTACTTTTTAAGAAAATTAAATCATTTTTTTTTTTTTATCCACAACGAGGAAGCTCTTGGCCTGTATCTCACCTGATGGTAAGTGACGATCAGGCCGAAGGTGGAAGCGAGCTTCACCCGGAATCCTCAACCACGGAGGAACTGGCTATCTTACCTCTAACTGCCGGAACACAACAATGCTGTTAACATTGTTGTTATGGCGACAGACTTAGGTAAGATGGTGGTAGCTAGCCAGGCGGACTTAGAACAAGCCCTACCACCAACCAAACCGAACAGAAAAATCTGCCCCCACTGGGAATCGAACCCGGGACCTCTGCGTCTGAAGCAGGTGGTCTAACCACTAGACCACAGAGGCGGTTAAATAAGACATTATGTTTGTGGATTAAATATACAATATGTAGGCACTTTATCTATAACCGACCTATATGCACATAAAACAGTATCATTTATGAAGCTAAACCAATTATCTTTATCTTTATTATTCATAAACTCACTGTGCAAATATTCTCTTCTCAAGTCTTGTCCCAATCCATGCGTCTCTACTTTCAATTTATTTATTTACTAGCTTTCCGCCCGCGGCTTCGCCCGCGTGGAATTTTGTCTGTCACAGAAAAACTTTATCGCGCGCGTCCCTGTTTCAAAAACCGGGATAAAAACTATCCTATGTTCTTTCCCGGGACTCAAACTATCTCTATGCCAAATTTCATCAAAATCGGTTGCGAGGTTTAAGCGGGAAAGCGTAACAGACAGACAGACAGACAGACAGACAGACAGAGTTACTTTCGCATTTATAATATTATAGTTGGGATTTGCACATTAACCGTACATGAAAAGGCCTCAAACTCCTTTAAGAGTAGGTTAAGTTTGTTGAGTATGTTGAGATAGCCCTATAATTATCCATTTGATTGAGTGTGACAGCTATGTTGACGGACAACGATTACAGTGGATTCCGATACGCACTTGCAATGGCCATTTCGCCGGCAACAATTAATCTTGCATTAGAGCTTTCCGCTCCAAAAACTAAACGCCCTTTATGTAGGTTATTAGGCTTGACGCAATACGTTTTGGGTGTGGTGCCGAGGCTAGCGAGCGCCTTTGAATAATACAGTGTGTTACTGACAACTTTAATGGTCAAACAAAGATTTTAATGACCAAAAAAGACTTATTATTCTCTTCTAGCAGAAGCGAAACACAAGATTCATAAAACTATCAGTGTGTTCTTACTGCGACACCCTTTTACTGACTGTTATTCATCGTCATCATATAAGCTATTATGTTACAGTAATCAGCAAAAAATTACAAGGGTTAGGCGTGTAGGCTATATTATCCGTTGGCTTTGATAAATTATAGAGGGTCGTGCTCCTGCAGAGACTAATGCCCGTTTTCACCATCAATCCCTAATTTTTAAGAAACCCCTATGGTAGCTATTAAAATTTTGTTTTCATAGGGATCACTTAAAATTAGGGATTGATGGTGAAAACGGGCATAAAAAACCTGATGATGATATTTGTAGCTATGTAAAAGGGCTACCCGCGCTCACTGAGCCCCGGCCTCATCTAATGGCCTATCATTATATCTTATGGTTTAGCAATCCGAAATGGAAACGTGATAGGTGAAGGGATAAGTACCAATCGTAAGTAGAACAAATGGCTTGATTACAGTCATTGTTGGCCCTTAGAGTGCTATTGTCATTGTCGACATTGTTTGCTATGGCTCAATCGGCTAACGGTTGCCAACACTATCTTCGGGATAAGATTTGTTTGTTTGCCGATATCTCTGCTCAAACGATCTCTGGAATGTTTGTGTTGACTTGTGCAATGCTAAAACGCTTTGAGGAGTGTAATATGAACTTGATCGTCCGAAACTTGATAGCTATGGTCCAAAGGAGGATTTCATTGCATATTAGTGTTGTACTCAGTTTAGTACAATAGCGAAGCGGTGGCAGAGCCATCAAGAAACATTTAGCAAATGATAATCTAGACAAAACAACGATCTATAAACGATGTCCTTAACAATTGTAAAGACAGAAAAATTAAAGCAACCTGATAAAGTAAAAGTTTCTGTATGCGATGTCTGATATCTGGCATGTGAATGGCATTAGTTTTTCAAGTTAAAAACAATATTATTTTCATAGTTTACTTATAACTAAGTACGTTGGTATCGCTAATGGCGCTGAAAGATATTTATTCTACCATTGCTCGAAAAACATTGAATTATAAATAAATAGGACTTACGATAAGAACTGTTTTGGAATTTATATTTCCCGTAATTTGGAGCTGTAAAATTGTTTAAGTATTTTATCAAATTGAGCAATTCAAATAAAGTTAATTTATTCAAATTACTCGCGAAACGAAATTTCGAAGAAATATTTTGTTCGTGTAAATTGCTCTTGAAGAAACTCTGCTATAAAAACTCGACAAAAGGCACTTTTTTATTTTTGATTATACTTTCCTTTCATTAGACGTTAACAGCAATAGACGAAAGTGAACGATAATGTCGTATTAAAATGTTGTTAATTTTGACATGACAATATCAACAGTCGAATCAGCTATGACCATTAAACTATAAGCTCTAACATTTACACAATGGGTTTAGTGTGTTAATACTTTCAAACGTTGGACGATGACACTAAAACGCATCGGAAGAGATGTCAGAAGACCATTTACCCATCACGATAAACATTGACGGGCTAAAACCACTGCCGGTAGACCTCTCGTTAGTAAACCATCAATAGAAGACGAAGATGAAGATATTGAAGCGAAAGGTCAAGGTGATATGGTTGGGCTATAAAATAAAGACAAGACCTTATATCTTGCGCAATTAAGACTCAAATACCAATTATTGAGTCTGATGCCGCTCACATACAGTTAGCTCATTAACATAGTCAATGATTAGGGACACGTGAAGGGCCTTATTAATTTCTTTGTGTGGATATTGATTGATAGGAGCCGTGGATCGAATGCGTAATACAAAGGTGCGAGCGTGAAGGGATTTATTGTGGGATACTCATGACGCCGTAAAAAGATCTATGGTATTAATTAACATGATGATAAAGTGGCCCGAGATTAATTTTGAATGGAGTGCGTCGATGTTAATCAAATACGTTTCGGGCAACTCATCCTATTCTATTCAGTTTAACACATCATTGTAAAACGATAATGGCTTTGACCTTTTCACAGCTTTTAACAGCGACGAACTTCAGTGTTTGATAATTACAGAATCATGAAAAATATTGATTGATTAATACATTTTTAAAAGTACTGTAATAGTTTGGGTACCTTAACGATCCTATCAAAATTATTTGCGCGTATTTTCTTGAGTTCTCAAGCTAATTTTGTCTCTACGATACGGGCTATTGTTGTCCAAATTTTCTGCGCTCTCAACAATATCAAAGCGTTCCGGGATAAAAACAAAGCATCCCTCGAACCGACGGAGGGCTCACTCGGCGAGTCCAGCGCTCTTCAAGAAAATTGAGGGACTCTTCCAAGACACATATTTATTATTACACGATCCGAATCGTGAAGTATATCCATCATAGCGACTTTTAATAAGTAAATAGAAACTTTGAATTGGATTAAGATAGAAATATGTATTTAAAAATGTAGTCTGAATAAATTGGTTTATTCATATAATAAATATCTTTTATAATCTGTATGATCTCTTCAATTGACGTACAAATCTCACTGAAAAGCTTTGTATTCATATTGATTTGCTCGTTGTTTATACAATATTGACATTTTAGCTCGTTTTATTCAATGGCACGTTCGCCCAACAAATTAACAGACTTTTATTAATGGATTTTCAATGGTTATATTTAAACTATTAAACCCCTTGGCGTTTGTACACAGACGACTTAAACCAAAAACCTAGGTAGGTATCTGATAAAAACGATTTTTCCTTTTCACAACAAAACCACTCCTATCTATAATCTTGATGAGACAGAAAAAAGCGAAAACATAAGGAAAAACAACCATGGACTAAAATCTCCTTAATCTTTCTTCATTCTCAGAATAGTCATTTATTTTCATATTGCTGGTTTTCCTGTGTCCTTAACGCTCACTGGAGTGAAATCTTTGGATTTGGTCTTTTTACGCCCGTTTTCACCATCAATCCCTTTGGGGACCCCTTTGGAAACAAAATTACTGTTATGTGTTACGGTAGGGGTCACTTAAAAATTAGGGATTGATGGTGAAAACGGGCATTAGTGTTAAATAAAAGATAGGTGTACTCACAAGTCCGGCTCCACGTCTGTGTAGTGTCCCTCCGCGTCCACCAGCCCCACCCTGATGGTGGGGAGTGTCTCGTCCTCATCATCCTCCAGCTCCCCCCTCGCTTCTCTTGCTTCCCTCTCCGCTAACGCTCTGGCTGCTATCACCTGCGAAGTAGAACGTCTTCATCATCAGAATCTGATGATCACTCAGTCTCCATTGCGGGAGGACGAATCTCTCTAATTTACTTGATTTGGCATAGGTATTTTTCCCACGCTGCCGCGCTGGTTAAAGACACACTTATAGTAGGTACCTATTCTAATAAAGTAGTAGGAAGAATAGATATTGGATAATTTTGTTCCTAAATAACATATTCGTAGAGCCGTAAACAACTTGTTGGCCTTAATTCCAAACCATTATTGATATAGCCAGTGACGAAGAAAAACGTTTTCTTTATCGTGAAAAAGCGATTAACCGCCTCATTAACTGCGCAATGTTTTATGGATAAGCAACAAAACCCACTAGATTAAATACTGTCTGCTACGAATAAACCAAAGCGATGTTTCATAAAATTGGAATTTTTAACGTGTCAGAAACTTGAAGAAGGAAAAATTTAAAACGAAGTTATTCCGAATTCAATTACTGCATTCACGGAAACGTTTTGTTTCCGATATCCAGGAGCAGTTCGGAGTTAACAATAGAATCAATTAACAGCGGGAAAATAAAATGGAAAAGGTTAAATAAACTACGTTTCGCAAAACGTTTCGGTTCTTGACTGACGGACGTGGGTGTAATCCAAAATCAAAAACAGATTGACCCACTAGATAGGTAGGTGATGAAGTGTGCTGCTATTCCGGTGGTGTCATATATAATTCAAGTAAATTATCGAGGAATACTTATTCCATAGTAGCTAATATCTTGTATTCAGTCATATTTAATAAGTCGTACAATTTAAAAATTCCAGACGTTTCAAGAAAATAACAAAAAACAGAAGGCCTTTTTATAGATTGGTTTTGACAGCAGTTAAACATAATGTTTTTACTGTTTTGTATCGTAACCGCTAACTAGACCTGTAATCAATTAGGCCTAACTACGTTTTCCGATCGGTGGTCGCCATTCTAGATCTTTTCTGACACGCACCATTTTCTAAATGTGCCTGGGCCTCTTGGACCCGTACGACATTGTGTACAACACTACTCGCGGAAATATTTAACGAATCCGCGCTTGTTAGGAACAGTCACACAGACAGGTTAATGATACTCCTTCGTAATTGGACTATGCATCGACTAATGAGTGTGATTTATGAAGCGATATTGTTATGATGTTGTCGGTGAGAAATGGGTTAAGCAGGCCGAGATACACGGGTGCGGTGATGAATGGGTTGCATTCTGATTTACATTGTTTATTATTCGTGGTAACTATTATCACTATAACTACAGTATAGTAACAGTAGTAGCTAATACTTTAAGTTTTTCACTTTAACCTGCAGTTTCTTTACTTTTTTTTAAATTAAGCTCAAAGTTTAAGGGCTACGCATAGGTACGGTTTCGTTTTAGGAACTCGCGTAGCTTATAACGACCGACCGGTTTTAGCGACGCATTAATGTTTGGTTGATTTGTTGAGAAATCTGAGAAATAATGTAAAAAAATATTTCTTTAGAAGGACATAACATCATCGGTCCCTTGAGCGTCGTTATCAGATTCTACTGTAGTTTAAATGAGGATTAACACATTGTATTTTTCATTAATTTCGTAGGTACCTAGACAAATTCATTACACTGATTAATAAATCTTAAGCCGTGTTTCGCCCAATCGCCTTGTTGGCATAATAATATGATATCGCCACAAAGTCTCTAACCCATTAATACGTTAACGTTGTGTGGACAGCGTAGTAAATCCGCCCTATGTCGAGCTAATGGAATCTCGAGCCGTAACACAATGCGGCGCTATCTCTTGATACCAGGCAAGGCTTCAGGGTTGACCTGCTTCGTACACATGCGCCATTAACATGGGTGTAAGAGAAAATTAAAGGACATGGATTACTATGACTTTAGTAACAGGAAAAATGAAGCTAGGAATTCCGACTCTGCTACTGATCTAAAGAACTTCCACTTAAAACTCGGTCCCTTAGAAGAACAAAGCACATTTATTCGACACCTTGAACTCTGAATTCGGCCTTTCCATCTCCCATCTGGCATTCGGGAGGTTGGCCACGGCATAATACCATCCTAGACTGCATCCCACTTAACATCAGGTGCGATTGTGGTCAAATACCTGCCTTGTTATGCATAAAAAAAAAAATATATATAGTGATGGAACTTAGCCTCGGAACTCGTACTAAGTATGTTACTTCAGAACCTTCTGTATAGCATGGAACTAGTCTTTGAACCTTGGGATCTGAACACTAACAGAGGTATTGAAACCTTATAGTTTAGGTAGTTGGGAAAGGTAGTAGGTAAAAAATCGGAACTCGTACTATGGAGCTTCAGAACCTTCTATACGGAGTGCGGATCAAGGAAGCATAATTTTTGAAGCTTGGGTAGGTGGGAATGGTAGGTACAGAAGAGTACAAATACTCTAGGTACTACTTACCTGTAGCCTCCGCTGCGCCTGCGGCGTGATCTCCACCACCCGCGACCAGCGGCGCGACTTCCTCTCGTACTGCCATTTGTCGCTCAGTGCGCACTGGTCGTCATCTGAGTCGTTCTGTAGACAAAAGGGGTAGAATTAGCGAAAAGTTATCGGAAAATAACTAAAAGACTTTAAAATATGGTTGTTAAAACGCAAGATCTCGTCAGAGAGAGGATCAATAACAAAGCCTCTTTATTTTCCCGTCACGCAAGCGTAAATTGTTATCGACAAATGGGATTTCCATTATTTCACCATGGTATCGGAAATCTCTCTAAGGTTTTACTGCCAATCCACACATCAGCGGAATGACAACCCTTCAGCCTGTTTATGTAAAGACGACAAGCTGAAGTGACTGACTGACTGCAGCATTTTATGTAGTTGTAGTAGGTGCTACTTTGCAACATAAATCTATAGTCTGATGTGTTGACGATAGTAACCTACAATCTACATAATATTATCATAGTACGCATCTTCTTTTTATTCGTTTCGCTCTTGGCAGAAAGGTCGTGTTCATGTTGAGGCGATCACGTCATGAAAAATCTTTATGCGCAAAGATTTATAATTTACTCGTAGTCTGAATCGGAACTCATAAAATAAAACCATTTGAATAGGCAGCTCTTCAGAAAATGCAAAGCGTAGTCAGTCCCAATCCCTTAAATCCTTCAGTCCTGAATAGGGCCTGATTGGGCGGGCTTGTTGCCAGGCTTACGGACCCAGATAAGTTTGATTGGACCCGCTACTAATGACAAACCAGCTAGGAATAGCAGCGGAGGGTAATGGACGACTGATCCTCTCTGAAGGACAAAGTACTAAATACTATTTAGTACTAAATAGTTTAAAAGTTTTTAACCGACTTCAAAAAAGGAGGAAGTACTATGTTCGGCTGTATGTATGTTATTTTACATTACGCGGACAAATCTTAGTTCAATTTATTTATGTTACTTTATCAAGCATGTTTTTATTATGTCAGTAAATAATTATTACTAACTTCATTTGCTCACGAAGCATTTCTGTTTTCTTTATAAACGGAGTTTCTACCTAGAGTGTAAAGCAATGAAGTACAAATAGTACAATGAAAGTGTTGTACTATTTGTACTTCATTGCTTTACACTCTGTTCTTCAGAAAATTGTTACAAAGGAAAGAAAATAATTTCAATTCTGTTGCATTTTCATATTTCTATTTTACAATCTTTAGAACATCATTAGAGATTTCTTTAAACACTTCAAAGAAGGCACTGGAAGATTGCAAAAAGAAAAGCTCGCCTGCATTAGTAGTGCTTTAGAAAGCTCACAGTGCAGATATTGCTTGCTCGTGAATGACTGAAACGCCTTCGTAAGATATCTCGAGTTTAAGAATATGCTAGCCAGGCAGTCTATTTCACTTAAATTCCTATTCTGCAGGATTCTACGATAAGTTATTGTCGGTAGATATTAAAGAGGATTTCTTAAATTGAATCCTTACAATATAGACTAAGAGCTAGTGAACGCCAGACCTACGTTATTTTATAAAGGCTGAAAGTTTGTCAGCGCATGCTCCCAACATAGCTAAGAACCATGGCCAAACATGAAGTCTGGGTGATGGTGGCTTTGGCAGACAGACGGTACTAAAGGTGTGTAAAATACCAACTTAATTACGTCAAAGTATAAAGGCTGATTTTTTGATATTTCCTTCAAAATGTTATTAGAAATGACGTCATTAATTGACAGACACCTACCATGGTGGCATCCCTTAGCCAGACACCTTAAAGTTCATTAAAATGTAGTCCTACTTACGTCATACTATAAAAGCTGATATTTACATAAAATATTTGAACTATCATTTGATGAAGTTATGTTAAAAGCATACGAAAAGTTGGGTTGTAGAATGAGGTTAAAAATTCACTTTCTTCATTCCCACTTCTTTCTTTCAATCTAATCTTGGTGCTGTCAGTGATGAGCAGGGTGAGAGAAGTTCCACCAAGATGTAAAGAAGCTTTAAGAACGATTTCAAGGCCGTTGGTACACAACTATGCTAGGCGATTACTGTTGGCATCTAAAACGAGAAGATTTTTCAAAACACAAAAGACAAAGTAAAAATTTAAAGGTATTTTTGGTTTAAATTGTATGAATTTATTTTTCTTATATTTTTTATACCTAAATGATAAAAAATTAACTCGATTGATGTATAAAAGTCTGGTATATTTTATTAGATTTCTTTAAATTATGTTTGATTCTTTCAGTTTTAAGCATAATTTGGCACATCCTTACGGATAAAAATGAGACGTGATGGGAAGAAAATATCCATGTATTCTTACTAAACGATAGGAATGAATAAGAAAACGCGACATTTCAAAGCGGGTACTTAATTTTCTTTTCCATTTGTAACGCAGTGAAATCAGCCTTTATACTTTGACGTAATTAAGTTGGTATTTTACTCACCTTTAGTACCGTCTGTCTGCCAAAGCCACCATGACCCAAACTTCATGTTTGGCCATGGTTCTTAGCTATGTTGGGAGCATGCGCTGACAAACTTTCAGCCTTTATAAAATAACGTAGGTCTGGCGTTCACTAGCTCTTAGTCTAATATGACTTTGATCTGGAGATTAGCCTCCATTTGCATTACGTTGTCGTTACGTTTTACTTACCTAAAAAGATGTACTTATCGATTTTTATCCAGTCCCTGTATTGTTCTATGTAAATCGAAATAAGCTTTGTCTCTACCTAGTATACCTAACTAAACTAACACTAAATCTGACAGTAGCCAAACTGTTGTAGTGCAAAATAGCTGTAAAAAGGGACGTGCCTCGTGGACAGACGATTCAATAACTTTGCCCGAAGCTATAAATAAGCGCATTAAAGTTATACCTTCATAATTTCCAAGTAAACTCCATATAAAACTTTTTATAGGGAAATTAAAAAGCTTTTAACAATATGGTGGAAATGTAACGACCCTACAGGGAAATCAGTGCGAGCCTGATGGAGGCTTAGCGAGACGCTCGGATCTGAGCAGTCAGGTTTCGTTGAGGTGACATTTTGAGGGTAATTTGGGAATAAATTAAAAATAACTTGTGTTGTTTTGTTTTTTAGGGTCGTGTTCTTTTTAGAAGTGGCTTCAATTTTGTGGAACATAGGGGATATAAACCTACGATCTTTCTGTATTTTCAGGTCTATGCATTCTTATCCATCGTAGTTAAATGCGGACATATACGAGTAATGAGGTCTTTCACCTGAAGATACGAATGCCGTGTTACGGATAGTCCAGCAGAGCACTGACAACATAGCCCATAATTTTGTTCATCTACAGCGTGCAACGTTTAATTCTTTGCGCACATAAAACATTTCTAAACAATATCATTAACTTGAACGAGAGACGAGCAACATAATTTGTCACATTTTGACGCGTTATTTACTTATCGGTTCTATAACATAGTAGGTTACATTTTTCCCCATTCAGAAGCATTGGACGCCATGTGTTAACAGCCGTGTCACTGTTATTGAGTCGTCAATAGTGCGGTCAGGCCGCCGACTTATCTGTCACGCTAACAAGCAGCCACGGAGGTGCACCGCGGCCAAACTAGCCGTTTAATCATCTGTCGGATTATGTCTGTAGTTCAGTACACATCATTACATTGGAAAGGAGGAACAGCCAGCTCATTCTATTTTATTACATTTGAAAGTTCGCTGAACATAATTATGACCTTTGTTTTGTCACCTGTCATCCGTTTTGCACTGCAAGGAAGTCGAACTTTAACTTCAAACTCCTCCTATGTTCTTCTGATTAATTTCGTTACAGCATTAATAGTTTAACTTTCCCCGGGGACAAAGTTATCTTCACTGGTGGGAGTTTAATTGGCAGTTAAGCTCTAGATCCTGGCTTCACAGGATTTGTAGCAGTGGGACTGTGGGATCGAGAGGTGGGAATAGTCATAGTCTTTTTCTGTATAAAATATCTCGCTATTTTTACGAGATAACGTGTTCCTGACGATATCCCATCCTTAATCCTGACGATATCCAATGTTTATGTTCTGGCTGTTCTCTTCAAGCTCTGGCATGATGCATAAACCTTTGCTGTCAATTTGCGGGAATGACGAGTGGATTCATTGAGAGATTATATCGGCTCTGACTGATTGGGGCAATCGCGCGGAAAATCGTAAGCGCGTTTTAATTGAGTATCAACATTCAGTAATGATGGGGCTGCTGGCAGCTTTAATGGGACCCTGAACTGACGTTTAGATGCTTTTAATAATGACCTTTATTTTTTACTGCCTTTTACTTAATAATATATAGCGGTTTAGTCAGATTTTTTAATAGAATTTTGGTTTCAATTTACGAATAATTCCGTTAATCCCTCTATAAAAACTAAATATGATTGTATTACCCCTTTCTCTCACCTAAATATGATGATAATTATTAATAGAGTCGAAACGGGTATGATTTTCCCTATTAAAATCTACTGTTTAGTTTACATTGCTGTTTAGTTACAATACGCAGCACAACTATTTCTTGAGAGAGTTAGTAATTAATTAAATAAATATTTTTTAAACTTTATCAACAGCAGCTAACAGGACTTCTCATTAAACAAGGGCATGCCATGCCCCTGTAAGTCATGGATTCCGAAATAAATTATAAAATAATAAAAAGTACTGTTAGTCATTCATACTCTCCAAAACGTCAATCAACAGTCCATCAAATTAAATCTGAACTGTATTTTATTAATTTGAATTTGTAACTCACTGTACTTAGTATTGTGACTTGACAAAAGTGGTATTGATTTGAAGATATTATATCGCGCAATGTTTTTATCGAAGAGGGTTATACCTGCCGTTTATTGAAAAATAAATTAGCATCTCGCAAGTTCGATGACCCGTCGGCAATTTGATGTTATCTCGACAAGTTTTATTGTGTATCGTTCGCTTTTTGCGCAGTCATCATTTTTGTAGAGTCAAATTAATTTACATTATACTTCGCATACAAATCGCATTATTAAAAGGTTTAATTCCTTTTAAAAACTTTTTAATTTTTCCATCTTGTTTGAGTACCTTTGTTTTGAAATCTAAAGAACGATATTATACTTCGAACTCCTATATTCTTGGAAT